AAACATTTCTATATGTAAACACTAGAAACCAGCAGGGACACCAGTACCAAATTTCAGAATTTTAGCACTATCCCTTCACCCAATGCAAAATATAGTAACATTTAGTGCGCAAATTCAAAACAATTTACCTCCCTCCATCCTAGACATCAGCAGTGATTAACAAGTTAAAAAGCAGTAAGTTCGGCTGGGCCGAACTTTTAATGCCCTCCACCATTTGCAACGAATTTGGAAATTTTTAAAAAATAAAATCCTTAAAAAATTCTGTTAAAATTTTAAAAATACCGAATATAGCCGTTATATTGGGGTCTATACGACGTGGACATACATAGGCATTGTTTGTCATAAGCCATTAAGCAAATTCGAAACTTAAAAAAACGGCGAATAATGTAGCTAAAATCATCAAAGTATCGTATATAAGGAGGTGCCGTTAAATTGGAGCTATGGGAAGACCTGGACCAGCATAGACAATTTTCTATCACAGGCTGTAGCATCTATTACGAACTTCAAATACCACATCTCAAACAACTTCGGTGGGTATTGTACCTAAAATCGTCAAAATACCGAATATAGGGAAGTACTGATATATGGGGTCTATACGAAGACCTGGATCCGCACAGACAATTTTCTGTCACAGACTGTAGTTCCCATAACGAACTTCAAATACCAATTTTGAAACCATTCCGGTGAATAATGTCGCTAAAATCATCAAAATACCGAATATAGGGAGGTACCGTTATATGGGGGCTATATGAAGACGTAGACCTGCACAGACAATTTTCTGTCTTAGGGTGTAGTATCCATTTTGAACTTCAAATACCAAATTTGAAACAATTCCCGTGAATAATGACGCTACAATCATCAAAATACCGAATATCGGGAGGTACCGTTATATTGGGGCTATACGAAGACGTGGATCTGCACAGACAATTTTCCGTATCCATTTCGAACTTCAAATACCAAATTTGAAACAATTCCCGTGAATAATATCGCTAAAATCATCAAAATATCGAATATAGGGAGGTACCGTTATATGGGGGCTATATGAAAACGTGGACCTACTTGGCCCATTTACGAACTTAACCTGCCTACTGGAAAAATAAACATGTGTGCAAAATTTTAGCCATCTATCTCAATTCATTCGAAAGATAGCGTGATTACAACAGACAGACAGACGGACATCGCTAAATCGACTTAGAATTTTACGCTGATCAAGAATATATATACTTTGTTGGGTCTGATATGAGTATTTCGAGGAGTTACAAACGGAATTACAAAGTTAATATACCCTCCATAGTATGGTGGAGGGTATAAAAATGGTACCAATACTAGCACTTGCAAAACTACCATCAGATCTCAACAGCAGATACCAAGAGAGACCTCAACATCAAATTTCGGGATTCCTGCTCTATACATTCACTCAATACCAAATTCAGTAATTTTCGTATAGTTTTAGTACTAATTTGCAAAACCGTTCTATATCTCAATCCTAGACACCAGCAGTTATCGCAATATAACATTTCACGGTTTCAGTTCTATCCCTTCACACAATACCAAATTTAGTACCACGCAGTACTTTTCGTACAAATATTGGACGCAATTATAAACCACCGGCAAATCTCGAACACAGATAAAATCAGTAGTCTAAATACTAAATTTCAGAATTTTATCTCTATCACTTCAACGAATACCAAACATAATACCATACAGTACTTTTCATACAATTATAGTACACATTTCCGAAACCACTTCCATATGTCCAGCGAGCATAATACCAAATGAGCAGCGAGCCTAATACTAAATTTCAGATTACAAGCACTATCGGTTTGCCCAAATTTAAATTGTACAAAAAAATATAGAAATATTTAGTACTTTTCGTGCACTTGTAGTACCCATTTTCCAAAACCACCTCTTTATCACAAACCAACAGGGACCCTAATACAAAATTTAAAAATTTCAGCTTTATCCGTTCACGTTAAAGTTCGAATTTCCTAAAACTCTTGTATTACCTAATACCAAATTTAGTACCATGCAGTACTTTTCGTATAAATATTGGACGCAATTTCCAAACCGCCGCCAAATCTCGAACACAGATAAAATCAGTAATCTAAATACTAAATTTCAGAATTTCAACTATACCTTCTATACTCTATACCTTCAACGAATACCAAACAATGTACCATACAGTACTTTTCACACATTTCCAAAACCACTTCCATATGTCCAGGCTACACATGAACAGCGAGCCTAATACCAAACTTAAGATTACAAGCACTATCTGTTCACCAATACTAAATTGTACCAAATAAAGAATATTTTGGTACTCTTCGTGCAGTTGAAGGACCCATTTTCAAAACCACCTATTTATCACAACCCAACAGGGACCCCAATACAAAATTTAAAAATTCCAGCTTCATTCGTTCACCCTAACCAAACCGTTCCAAATTTAGTACATTTAGTACAGTTCCCACACTAAGTATACATTTCCAAAACCACTTTCATATGTCCAACATACTTTCCAATCGTGATTAACATACCAAATTTCAACTTTTAAACTCTATCCGTTCACATAATACCAAATGGTACCATTTTAGTAGTTTGGTACTATTTTAGAACTTTTCGTAACGTTAAATTCTGAATTTCCAAAAACCCTTAGGTACAGTGACTCTCATTCCAAATTTCAGAATTCTAGCTCATTTCGTTATTCCAACATAATGTATTCAATTTTTAGTGCATTTTAATACTTTTTGTAACCTTTTACTGCGAACTTCCGAAAACCATGCCTTAACGCCAACGCACCAAGACTGCGTAATTGAAAGATTCTAACTTCAGCCGTTTCGTCTTGACTTTGATTCTAGGTCAGTCAGTCATTCATTTTACTCTTTTATTAATATAGACTTGTCTGCGCAAATCTAAATTTTAATGTCTTCGCACTTTTGTCCTATTTCATTCGTCGTCTTTAGAAACGTATTCTACCCTGTCACCCATTTGCCGACCTGTGTTCATTGAAAACTTGTTTTTCATTTAATGCAGTTTTGAGTAATAAATGAAATAACCTCTGTCATATTTCAATTCACATCTTCATTAATGTGAAAAATCTCAAAGCCATTAATGTACCACCAAGTACTCCAAAAGCCCTTGTCTTTGAACCTTGATTTTAGCATAATTTCAAACTGCCATTTGATTATGTCAAAAGACAAGAGGCCTTCGCTGCAAAAACAAAAAATAATTTCGCTCATATCTCTGATATTAACAACGGCGGTGCGGTAATGATGTCAAGGTGATGATAAACATTTTAGACGCTATTAATCCGGAAGGCATATATGTTGTGATTTACATACACACTTACAAAGATACCTGCAGCAAGTACTTTATGCCAAAAACTTTTTTTATTATCATTTTAGTCGTCTGCATAATATCGCCTGTCATTAATCGCTCGTGTAATATCTGGTGCACATGTACATATTAAAAGTTCGATTGAGGAGCGAGATTATTTGAAATTAATTCGCAATAAACCACAATAACATTTCATTAACTATGAAATTGATTCCCATCGGGAATATATAACACGGGGCGGGCCATAGGCTTCAATTCAAATTATATCAAAATAACGGGTTTACATGAATAATTACCTATAATGAATGCAAACCACCAGATGAAGGTCGTTTAAATTATGTCTAGCACGTGTCTGTGCTAAAATTAATTCTGTTTGGTATCAGAGACTTAATTTATACTTAGGCCGGGCCAAACTTTAAATACCCTCCATCATTTGCAACGAATTTGGCATATTTCAAAAAAAAAAATAAAATTCGTTAAAAATTCTGCTAAAATCTTAAACATACCGAATGTATAACGGCTACATTAGGGTCTATACGACGATGTGGATCTGCATAGGCAACTTTTATCATAAGCCATTACAATATTCAAATGTGAAACTTGAAAAAAGAAATCGGTGAATAATGTAGCTAAAATCATCAAAATACCGAATATAGGGAGGTGTCGTTATATGGGGGCCATACGAAGACGTGGACCTGCACAGACAATTTTCTGTCTTAGGCTGTAGTATGCATTAAGAACTTCAAATACCAAATTGGAAACAATTACGGTGAATAATGTCGCTAAAATCATCGAAATACCCAATATCAGGAGGTATCGTTATATGGGGGGGCTATACGAAGACGGGGAACTGCACAGACAATTTTCTGTCTTAGGCTGTAGTATCCATTACGAACTTCAAATACCAAATTGGAAACAATTCCGGTGAATAATGTCGCTAAAATCATCGAAATACCCAATATCAAGAGGTATCGTTATATGGGGGCTATACGAAAACGTGGACCTACAAAGACAATTTTCTGCCATAGGTTGTAGTATCCTTTACAAAACTAAAATACCAAATTTGAAACACTTCCAGTGAATAATGTCGTTAAGTCATCAAAGTACCGAAAATAGGGAAGGTACCATTATATGGGGGCTATACGAAGACGTGGATCTGCACAGATAATTTTAAGTCTTAGGCTGTAGTATCCGTGACGAACTTCAAATACTAAATTTGAAACAATTACAAAGTACCGAAAATAGGAAAGGTAACATTATATGGCTGCCATACCAAAACGTGAACGTACATGACCCATTTTCAATACCAAAAGTCCTACAGACCTAATATTCGTACGGAAGCTACAGTGATTTCCGCAGACGGACGGACATCGCCAAATCGACATAGAAATTAATGCTGATCAAGAATATATATACTTTGTGGCGTCTAAAATGTATATTTCGAGGTGTTACAAAATTGTTAAAAATTGTACTTGCTTTCAATTTCCAAAAACTGATTTTTTAATAATAATATAAACGTCCCTGAAACACCCTATAATAGGTAAATAGTTTAGGAAATCTTTTATAGTTAAAAAATCCTTTTAATCTCATCCCCATAACCAGTAACATTTATATTTTTTTACACTACACTTTTTTATTATCAATAATAATTACTTTTCTTTTTCCAGGTATTGCCGGTCTATTTACGGTCTTCTCCAGTTTTATATTTACCACGACAATAATCAAGTTCCTAGGCAGTGACATTACAGACTTAAAGTGAGTAGCAATTTTGTTTTTTCTTTTATTTTTTCTTGGCATTTTTAACAATTTTCCCACCATTTCCATTTTGTTTCCAGAGATGCACTATTTTTCCTATTACTATTGATTGATCTCTCGAATTCGGGTACCTTGGCTCAACTGGCCCTGGCCGGTACAAATCAAGCTGAAGTAACACACAACATTGCCCGTGGTCTAGAGCTATTGGGTCCAGCCATATCCTTAGATACAATCGTTGAAACCTTGGTAATTGGTGTGGGCACACTATCCGGTGTACAGCGTCTTGAAGTCCTGTGTACATTTGCCGTCATGTCCGTCATTGTCAATTATGTCGTCTTTATGACATTCTATCCGGCCTGCCTATCATTAATATTGGATTTATCACGTAGCGGTATGGATATGTCAATGGTAAGGGCCAGAGCACGTGATTCGATATTGTTGAAGGCTCTCAACGAGGAAGAACAAAAAGCCAATCCAGTGGTGCAACGTGTTAAAATCATCATGACAACTGGTCTAATGATTGTCCATATCTATAGTCGCGTGGTATTCTCCAATGGAGAATACGAGAGTGTGGACAAAACATTAACACCTCAACTCAACATGAATGTCAACAATAATCGCACCGAATCGGGAGAATTAAGTGATCTAATAATAAAGTGAGTAAAAAATGTATAGCCTTTTAAATGAGTTTAGTTAAAAATAGGGTTTTAATAATTTGTGTCATAATAAATAAAAAATCTCAGAAGTTAACATAACAGCTTGGCTATTAAATCAATTTACTTATTATTTAAACTAATTGAATGAATTATCAATGAATTAACTACTTATACTATGCAACAAAATTCTTTCTATGAGATAATAGCAGGAAAAAACAAGTAGATTATGAAAATATAGATTATGAAAATATAACAATAGAAAAAACGCGTAGTGTTTACATCCCAAAGTAAAGTAATGGCGACAATTTCTCCCCTCTTCGAAGTTTTTCTTTCAAATGTTCGCATTACGATTTCATGAAATCCTTCAAATTTAGATATATAGTGCCTTCGAAACAATGCGTGTATTATTTTGTCAGAAAATGGGGTCTTTTTGGGTTTTTTATCTTTGAAATTGTTAAAGAAGACGATTGAAAAGATTCTACAAAATTATTTGTCATAAAATTCTATTATAGGTCTCAGAGTACATAAAAAATCTGAATCTAACCCAAACGCCAGGAAGATATAAGTTTAAAAAACACATTTTAGGAAATTATTTTAAATTCTCCCACAAAACAATAATTTAATAGGATGAAGTCAAAGACAAAAATATTCTACATCAAATTTCACTATAAGTCACCAAAGAAATAAAATCTCTATATCCATTGTATATCAAAAATGTATTGCTTTGAATGCCAAGCCAAGAAAACACGCGAATATATTTCCTATTTTTCAGGGATTTTTCTTTGGTCTTCCTACGGTTTGATGCGTGAAAATAACATTCAACTTTAGTTTAGACAGAAAGTGCCCTATTTCCTATTTGAAATATTTTACACCAAATATGACTATAACTCCCAGAATAAGCTATCTTTCTAGTTATATTTCGAAATGTATATATTATATATGTATGTATATATTAAACTTAATATGTATCATACAAATTTGTATTAATTTTGATCCATAGAAACTCGTGTTCTTTTCTACAAGTTTAGACCTTTACCTGTATTAGAAATTATGCCCCTCGAAATAGCTGAAATGAAGGATAATTTTTATAAAAAGGGAATCTTACCATTGTCCCCCATACCTCAAATATAAAGGCTAAATTTCAGTATATGATAATATTTGTTACATATTTACCGAAAGATATGGTATTACAATTACTTTGTTCTAAACTGTATTTATATATTCGATCTCAGTGAAAATCTGAATGTAATATGAGAAATTTTTATACTTTCAGCCGTCTTTCTAGAGTTGTTAAGGGGATTAAAACAATATAGAAACATTTTTTTTTAATTATTGATGAATTTAATTTTTTTTTCATATTTCAAAAAATTGTGGACCGATAAAGTTTAAAATTTGATTTTTAGCCACCATCGCAACACGTTATTATTATCTTTCAACAATTATATATTAAACAATTTGCTCGGTTGGCCTTGAAAATTTCTATATTTTTCAATGACATTTTTTTATGTTTTACTCTTTTTCAAATTACAAATGAAACCATGTTAATGACAGTTTTGAATACATTGTTTCTAAATCGATCAGATAATAAATTAGTTAGTTTGTCCCGTACGAACTTTACCCCATTCTATTTTTGCATTTTTGTGTTTTACTCTTTTTGATATTGAAAAGAAACCACTTTAATGATCATTTGAATACATTGTTTCTAAATCTATCCATTAATTTGTCACCAAATTACCATTAACTGGATCCCCAGACATTACGTACAACACATATGTTTATAATTGATTTTCAAGAACTAAATAATTAAATTATGATATAAAATTATTTCTGTAATTTTTACAAATTAAAACCTACTCAATATCTCCTTATCTACTATTATTGAATGCATTCATAATATATCTAAGAGTAATTGTTTTGAAAAAAAAAACTACAGAGCAAATGGGGGTCAAGTGAAATTATTCCCTTTAGAGTTAACATATAATTAGAAAAGCTGGTGGTGCTCCTTAACTGAGAACTTTTCAGAATCGTAGCAAGTTTTTCCAATTTCCAATTATTTAAATGCAGTGGAATCTGGCTAGCTTGCAATAAATAGTTTATATTCAAGTAAAAGAAACAAATAGAGCAAATCAATAGACCCCATTAGTTATGAATAATTATATTCATATTATAAACAACACCCTTTTAAAATTTCTAATATTGTTAGAAATTTTAAAATGTTTGCTTTAAATAAGTCGGCTGCTTGGGCTTCATCTATTAGTTGGCGTTTGAATGCCATTCTAGTCGTTCGCACTTTTTTCTTGCACAAACAATGAAGGATATCACAATTTATTACATTAGGTTCATTTCTTTCTAATACAATTTTTGAAAATAAAGATTTAGAAATTAGGATCGCCGCCTAGAGATGTACATCAATTTATTTTCTACCAATATTGAACCAGTTTTCTTTACAAAAACAAAAAAAAAAAAACATTAATTTGTAAAAATTGTGCAATTTGGTTTTTGAAATTCTAATGCATTTCCATTTTTCTATCTTTTCTTTACAGATGGCTGACTATGAGTGCCGATCAAATTGTGATACTTATACTACTCATAGCTTTGGTAATTAAATTTATATTTTTCGAAAATCGTGAAGATTTGCATGACCAAATACGCCAATCGACTGTTACAATTGCTGCCAAATCGTCCCAGACACAGCCGCAACAACTTGAAGCACCAAATAGTACAGCACTTGAGAAGGCAGCCACTGATAAAACCATGGAAAATCACAGCAACAGTTCCCTGGTTGTGTGTCGGGAGGAAAATTTAAATAAGAACAATAGCACAACAACAATTGTACCAGTATCCCGACCACGTATCCCCCTATTTACCATTGAGGAACAGAATACGGCAAATGCCTCTACACAAACTGAATATAATCGTCTGCTTGCCGATAATTGCGATGGTGCTATGCTGTTGCCTTTAAGTGAATGCAATCAGCTATCAAAAATGCGTCCACCACGTTCACTCGAAGAATGTCTGGAAATTTTAAATGCTAGCGAAGATGGCACGTCGGGTGCCGCCAATTTAACCGATGAAGAAATCATAAATATTGTCAATGCTGGCGGTCAATATTGTCCTTTACACAAAATCGAATCGGTTATTGATGATCCGGAGAGAGGTGTCAAAATACGACGACAAATTATTAGTGGCCGTGCCAATTTATCTGCCGAACGCCTTGATTGTCTTCCATATAAACACTTTGATTACAAACGTGTTATGAATGCCTGCTGTGAAAATGTCTTAGGTTATGTCCCAATACCCGTAGGTTATGCTGGTCCCCTGCTCTTGGATGGCGCCAAATATTTTGTGCCCATGGCTACAACAGAGGGTGCTCTGGTGGCTTCAACAAATCGTGGTTGTAAAGCTTTATCGGTGCGCGGTGTTACATCGTACGTTGAAGATGTCGGCATGACTCGTGCCCCATGTGTGCGATTTGCCAGTGTTACACGGGCGGCTGAGGCCAAACTTTGGATATCCGACGAACAAAATTATCAACGCATTAAGGCTGAATTTGATTCAACCTCGCGTTTTGGCCGTCTCAAGGAATGTCACATTGCCATGGATGGTCCCCAGTTGTATATACGTTTTGTGGCACTGACCGGTGATGCCATGGGCATGAATATGGTTTCGAAGGGTGCTGAAATGGCCTTGAAATGTATAAAACGTGAATTCCCCGATATGCAAATTATTTCGTTAAGTGGTAATTTCTGTTGTGATAAAAAACCTGCAGCTATCAACTGGATCAAGGGCCGGGGTAAACGTGTCGTGGCTGAATGCATAATCCCGGCAGCGACATTGCGTGGGGTCCTGAAGACAGATGCTAAAACATTAGTCGAATGCAATAAATTAAAGAATATGGGTGGTAGTGCCATGGCCGGCAGTATTGGAGGTGAGTAGAAAAAAATGTTCAGATGATAAGGGAATTCAATCGCAGATATTGGAACAAGGGACATTTATTTCAATCGACTCCAACGGTGTAGTTTTCTTTGAAGTATCACTCCCAAATAATGTCGATCAAATAGATCTCAAATTGTCAATTTATATAATGTTATTTAAGAATCACAAAAAAAAATAAAATATTCTCTAGCATTCGATAATTAGCCATATCTACCGAAATTTTCAATTAAAATTAATTTCTATAGATTTTTTTGATTTCGAATCAGAACATTTCGTCCTTGTATTTCTTCTTAAGTCTAGACTATTTTTAGATAGACGTATAGAGATTTTTATAAAAAGAACACATTTCAAAGACCTAAGAGTAATCTAAGATTAGATTCGATGAACAGAAATCCTTACATGGAAGGACGACTCAAAGGGCCTACTGGGAAAGTAAGATCTTCTGTATTTACAGATAATCCGTTTAATGAAGACCTTCGTTAGATCCCTTATACGGGATACTTATATATTCCTACGCATGCGACCCTTTTCGATAAATGAACTTATATATGCTCTTCTTTACCTTTCGTACAGTTACGATACCTCCTTCTGAAGGTTTTAACTAGAATTTTTCAGAATGATTAACTAAGGATAACAGACATGTTTTTTTAGACATAAAATTCGATAGTTCTTCCTTCTACAGGATTAGTTATCTCCCATTGCTGAAAAATACTTTCTCTAGTTCTTGTGAAGATCGTCAATAGATTGAAAAATCTCGAAACCATCGTATGCCTTCCAAAAACAGCTAAACTCTACTGGGTCTTCTTTAAGAGTCCGTTCCTCCTTAAATTGATAGTTTTGTTTTTAAATTTTATATGTCAATGCATCTACCAAACTTAGATGAAGTTTAAAGACGTTGGTGATCAACCATTTTTCCTTCCCCATAAAAGAAAATTATTCTCTTTTCAACTTCTCACCACCTATCTACATTTGGTGAATACCAAATGGTGATTTCTGATTTATCAAATACATTTTATTTAGCCTGTCACGCCTTACTGTTCAATTATAAAGAACGAACTGAAATCGATGAAATGTTTAAAATGTCGTGAAACGTGAAATTATTCCAATATACGCATATAGGGAGTTCCCCATCGAAAGTAACTCAATAGAAAACTTGAAGTATACTCCAATTTTCTAACAGGTGGACCTCCACTCTAAGTTTTTGCAAAGTGTGGATTACTGTCCCTTATATGCTTTTGTGATTATTTATCCAAATGTTTAGCTCATTAAAATATTTAGCTTTTCTTCTTTGAATTCCCTAAAAATATTTTGAAAGAGAATTTCCAAAATTTGCTGTTTTTCGTTTAATTAACACATTCGAAATACTACTAATTTCCTTTTTTCGATTTTCTTCCCACAGGTAACAACGCCCATGCCGCCAATATGGTTACAGCTGTCTTCTTGGCTACGGGACAAGATCCGGCACAAAATGTTACCTCAAGTAACTGTTCAACCGGTATGGAATGCTGTGGTGAAAATGGTGACGATTTGTACATGACATGTACAATGCCTTCACTCGAAGTGGGTACTGTTGGTGGTGGTACTGGTTTGCCTGGACAAAGTGCCTGCTTAGAAATGTTGGGTGTGAGGGGTGCAAATGCAGCACAGCCGGGTGAAAATGCCAAGAAATTGGCACAAATTGTGTGTGCCACGGTAATGGCTGGGGAATTAAGTCTAATGGCCGCCTTAGTCAACAGTGATCTAGTCAAAAGTCATATGAGACACAATAGGTAAGTTGTCATCAATATTTTTTAACAAAGAAATTTAAATATTATTTTGGAATTATTTCCTCTTTATTTTCTTACAGATCCTCAATAGCTGTAAGTGGTAAAGCCACAAATCCCTTGAATGTTACAGTATCCAGTTGTAGTAAAATAAGCTAAAATTTATTAATAAAATCTAAGGAGTTTAACATAATGCTATTTACTACCTCCTGATGTTTTTGGTTTCTTTTTTCATTCCAAAACATAGATACTTTTTTGTGTTATACAAAAGCAAAAAAGAAATATTAAATAATAAAAAGAAACGACAACAACTAAACAAAACCAACAAAGATACAACAAGAAACGATAAATCTCTCTCGTGTGTGTGTTTCCAGTTCAATGCAATGGTGGCATTAAACAAAGAACAATATTATTAGGTAAATTATTACACAGTGCTATGAATTCTATTTAATTTTTTTTTAAATAGGTTTTAAATTATGTCATAAATATAATGATCATGGCTTAATAACAAAAAAATATATATATTCATGTGCAACATTTATTTAATTCATATTTTATTGAAAAAAAAGAAGAAATAATAATAACGGATGCAGATATTTGAATATTGTCCTATTCATTTGGAAAATTCAACAATATTTAATTTGCTAGTCAAATATCATAACGATGTTTTAAAAGTGAGGAGGTGTTATACATTGATTTTAATTAATTTATTACCTAAAAAAATAACAGAGAAAGAGTTATAAAACAATACTCCTTATAAGAAATTTGATCAATGGATTAAAAAAGCATTGATAAGGAAAATGTTTTCCGACATGGCATTTTATGTGTCTGAAACCCGAACATCTACTGTACAAATTGGTAAACAGATTGAGATATTTTACATTTCATCACATATTTATGCTTATCAGGCCTACCTTATACCCGGCGTGCCATACATTCACCCTTCCCACTAAGGTAACATGTTTTGTGCATTCGTATTATCCAAATGCGCAGGGTCCATACTTCAAGATAACCAAATAAAAGCACAGAATACACAGTTAACTTTTTTAGTATTATTTGCTTTTGTTTTCCACAAAAAAAAAAGAGAAAGACCAATAGTTCTGTCAATGTTGAATTTGCTCAACTTCAAAATTTTGTGCGTTCGACGTTTTCCGATAGGTCTGTATACAACGCTAAATAAATATTTCAATTGTTTCAACATTTGCTTCTGTGCCTCAGAACCTGCATTAATCTACCATGGTGAATCTACTAGTTTTCCATTATTTTTCGATATCATAGAGGGAAAAATGGATATCATAGTAAATGCTTTTTGAAACAATTAATTTCAAATTTCAGCTAAAAAAACATGTTTAGATGAATTCAAAACTTTAGTATGAAATCAAATGTCGAATTGTCGTTTTTATGAAGTAATGCCTAAACAACTACTTGTTTGACAGATAACGTTTTCCAAACAATTTTTAACCCATCTCCCACAATGATCAAATGTTATCATAATTTAAGATTATAGCCTCTGATCGTTTTTTAGGAATCTAATTCATTTTCATTCCATTTCAACGGCTAAGTATTAAAAAAACATTTGATCCGACAAAATAAAGGGAATTACTTGGGGTCTTGCTATATGTCTGACACATTTCCCTTGTGGTTATTGTAAGGTCTCTAAATGCTCATGACATGTTACCGTACGATGCTAAAATAGTTGCTTTTTCCATGTTCACACGACATTCTAACTTGCAAAATCTCCTTTCGACATAAGTCGTCATTCATTGATATTAGGCTTTATAATGTCTAATGTGAAGCGAAAACTTTTATAAAGCAAAGAAATGTCAAATGAAAAATTTTATAAAGGAAATATTTTTCATTTCATATTTTTATAGAACAAGAATCCAGCCCCATGTTTTTTTAATTCTTTCTTATGTTATAAATATTATTTTAGAAAATAGGAAGATTCTTATTTGGTAACTTCCAATAATGAAAATTGTAAATTCTTCTGCAAACTTTTCGTGCTGATAACAGCACTGCTCAAAACCGTGTGCTAGCACATGAGTCCATAAAAGTAATTATTTGAGAGAAAACGAAAATTTTAATTTTCTTTTTATTTATCAAATAATTTCAATTATTTTAAAACATGGATGTTGTCCAAAATTATTAATAAAGCGATTTTTACAAAAACAGTATAAATTATTTTTTATAGAAATTGGACTGGTGAGCGAGGTCTTACTTTTGAGCAGCGCTGCTGATAAGGACTCTCCTAATCTTTCGCCGCTTTGATTAACTAAAATTTGCTGCGGCTATTCTCATTAAATGAAATGAGGAACAATATAAGACATTTTTTTTATTGGTAGACCGAATTCTTTATGAAAAATTCGATCCAATTGAATTATCTCTTTATTCAATTCCCTTTCGCCAATTGTTATTCATGCATAACCTCACTTAAAATAATTTTCAAATACCCAAACCAATTTTCTTTTTTGGAAACACGTTAATTGCAATTAAATTTTTTTGGCCGAAAATGCAAACTGCATTTTAATCTCCATCTATTTTGAATTTGTAGCACTGTGTTTTATTACTTAGCCCATCCAATACTGCAACAAAGAACCTAAATATTTATTAGAAATTACATATAAAACAAATAAAATAACTTAATAATTTAATTTAAGGAACAAAATCAAAGGTTTTAAAAACCATTTCATTTTCATTACAATTAATATTATTGTTTTTATTACAAAACGAAAAACAACTAACTAACATTGAAGTGTGCACGCACAATCAATCTACATAATCTTATGGTCTAAAAAAGTTAAAAAAAAACATAATTTTTTATATTTGCAAATAAAAAATAACCATTGTTGAAGTAAAAGATCCAGTTTGTTAAACCCCGGAACCGAAGTGGGGCCTATGTTGCAAATACCAAAGTTTTTTTTTTTTTCATTTTAATCAAGGGACATGATTAAACAAATGTCTAAGTTTCTATAATAATATTAGGTGAATAACCTAATGACTAGTTTGAATTGCAATGGGAGATCGAACGATCAACATCAGCATTTTAATGTTTTCAGTGCTATATGAAAATCCCTAGAAATGAAATTTACATCATTATTAACACATGGACCACCAACTTAAAATGTCTCACATTCAATTTACAACATATTTCAAAACTTTTCTACATTACATAACATATATATTTCATAATTTGTTTACTTTTCGTATAACTTAGTAAGTAGAATAGAAAATTTATATGAAAAAAAGATACAAATTGTTTTTCTTTATGTTGTTTTTTTAACATAGGCAATTAATATAGCTACATATAAAGTGATTAGATTAGAAGAAGAAACATTCTTATACATTAGAGTCTATTTTTTGTATTTTTTTCGTATTTTGAAACTCATGTAAATCTTTATTTTCGTTTTGTAGAAAAGTAATTAGTGTAGTATTTTTTTTTTTTTTTAATTATTTGTATTATATTTCGGTTGCAACGAACTCCATGAAAATCTATGTTACCATTGTTTTTTCCTTTTTAACGAGACCCAAAATTAAATCCTTCGAAAGGTGCGATTAGTAAGCATTTATCATTGTTTGAAAAAATACGAAGTCCATAATCCTCCCCAAAAAAAAAAAGAAAAATAAATGTTTTAACAATAACAACAGCAACAATAAGAACCAACAACCAACTAATGTACGAGTGACAACAAAAATATTTATTAACTAATTTCCTTTACAAATAATTTTATTATTCATCATTTACAAAAAATAATGTAACAAGAAAATATGTATAACAAACAAACAATAAAAAACAATGTAAATTTGTTTGGTGAAATAAGTAAACAAAAAAACGGAAACAAACATTAACTGATTTTTTATTTGGAGGAAAGGTAAGAGTTTGCCAACATTTAAATATTGATGGGATCTGTTATCTATTAAAATATAACTGAGGTAACCAAAAATTAAGAAAAAAAACTAAGGTAAACTCAAAAGAAAAGCATCAATTCCTTTAGTATATCAACAAGTCAAAAACATTAAGTTCGGCTGGGCCGAACTTTTAATACCCTCCACCTTAGGATAAGGGAAACATTAGAACCCATTATGACCCACAAATACCAATTTTTAGACATATTCGTTTGAAAATATGGCAAAAATCATCAAAATATCGAATATCGGGAGGTACTGCTATATGGGACCTACACATACAATGTTTTGCCAACGGAGCTAGAACCCATTAGGACACACAAATACCACTTCCTAGACAAATCCGCGAAGAAATGTTGCGAATATTATCAATATACCGAATATCTGGAGGTACCGTTATATGGGAGCTATACCAAAACGTGGATCTATGTATGCAATGCTTCCCCATTCAATAACATTTAAGAAAAATGTAAAAATTATTGCGTTTGACTTTGTTGTAGTTTTTTTATCTCACCCTGTAGAGTCAAATCAGCTGGAGCTTGTTGCTACCTGTAATAATTATAACATGGGTATAATCATGGTACAATAAGGGGGTAGAACATCTTCGTAAAACTACAAAAATACAGCCCTGTGCCCGCTTCCTGTCAGACTCATTCAAAATCATTGTTTTCTTTTTTTTTCATATTTTTCCTCATTTTTAAAATGAGTTGAATAGCGCAAATATTGAATAAAATGTATGGATTTTTCTCTCAAAAATATAATCATAAATGTTCAATCTTTCAATTTCATGGCTATACTGGTTAATAGCTTTAATGCGCGAGCCGCAATTCATGTGTCTTCCAATCATTGGTTTTGAATTTTTTTTTTCATTTTTCAAAAAAATTAATACACACACAAAATTGGCAGAAGTCGGGCACACTTAGAAAAAAAATTGTAATCAGCTGTTAGCTCTACCTTACCTTTTTATTGTACCATGGGTATAACCATGGTACAATAAGGAGGTAGAACAGCTTCGTAAAACTACAAAAATACAGCCCTGAGGCTATGCCCGCTTCCTGCCAGACTCATTCAAAATTATTGTTTTCATTTTTTTCATATTTTTTCCTCATTTTTGAAATGAGGAAAATGAATAAAATGCGAGAAATGAATAAAATGTCTGCAATTTTCTTTCAGAAATATGATCCCAACTGTTCAATCTTTCAATTTCCTGGCTATACTGGTTAATAGCTTTAATGCGCGAGCCGCAATTCATGTGTCTTCCAATCATTGGTTTTGAAAATATTTATTTTTCATTTTTTCAAAACAATTAATACATACGCAAAATTGGCAGAAGTCGGGCACTCTTAGAAAAAAATTGTAATCAGCTGTTAGTTCTCCCTTACCTTTTTATTGTACCATGGGTATAACCTTGGCACAATGTAATCAAGGTAGGGCACTGAAACCAATCGATTTTATTTTTAAGTTGCCTAGCTTAATATGCCAAATCAATTTAATTTCAATAATATGAAATTTTTTGAGAAAATGACTTAATATTTGATTTAAGATTTGTATAAAATAATGAAAATAAATTTGTTACCAATAAGAAAAATGCATTTTTGAGTTAAGTCTCTCTTTGTGTATGAAAGCGGTATCTTATGTTTCAATTATACTTACCACGTTGTTACAGATAATTTAACAATTAACGCTAATAAACTCTGTGAATATATTTCTTTAACCTAAAATAGCTAAATATGTGCTAAATAGAAAATACTGTACATTTCAAGGAACACATTATGCAAAAATGATTTATTTTATTTATTGTGGAAAATTAAACATTAATTGTAAGACATTACATTTTTCTTTTATTTTTGTTTAATTTTCATTGATTACATGTCAGACGTTAATTACAGTATTATTCCATTGCAAATGAAACACCAAAATCGATTAAAATTTTTTTAAGTTAAGAAGTCCATAGTTTTGCTGTAGCGCTATAAAATCAGGGCCACAATCAAATTTGTTTTTTCTTTCTGCATTGTACAAAATCGTACACAAATAGACTGGACTCTTGACTCCATACATGAAATAAGTATCTTGTATTCTGTATATTCTTTGAATTGTTCAGTTGTGTGGGAGTAGTGTCAATTTTGAATTGGCATTGATTTCCTGTATGTGTTTGTTTTGTCGCTTCTGATTTATTGCATAATAATACAATATTTTAATGAAATGTATGAAATTAGGTTCTCCATCTTCTTTTTCTTCTCCTCGTTACATTGGGTTTGCAAATAACTGCACATAGGTGTGTGTGTAATTTCGATTGTTTTAATTTTATTGATGGATTTTTCGATTTTTTTCTTGTTTATTAATTATCAGACGCTTCTTGTATTGTTGTTGATGATTCGGGTGTCAGCAAAGGTTTTTTGGGACTTGGTTCGGTGGAATCATCATGATCTGGTTCAGCAACTCCCGCGGAAGCTGCAACTTCATCAACCTTTGCAACATCATTACAGGTCGCCCCTTCTCCATTGCTTTCGCTGTTTTCTGCCGAATTTGCAGTACTTATGTCATCGGGATGTGATTGTTTACGTTTTTCTATGCGCTCCACAAGAGCACTGTGCAAATTTTTTATTTCCGCTGGACGAGCCATAACTAAAAATATTTTTATTTTACCCGTATTATCCATTGCTGTGAGTCTTAAAGATTTTTGACTAGGTCTTTCAGCAACCATGCCACCCCAGACCTAAAATCGAAGAAAATAACAATTTTAGAATTAGGTGTTAATAAAATACGATTTACGAAATCAAGCCTAGTTTAAGAAATTCACAACAATATTTTTGCCTATTCATACTATCATACAATCATATATCATATCATACAATTTTTTCCAGAAACGCTCTATAGACCAAGATTAAAATGCTGGAAAATGCTTTTATATATAAAAACTTCGATTTCTGCTGGTTTGGCATTGTAGATCCTTATTTTAGACTATTAGTAGTGGCGTTAATTTTTTTTAGTACCGGGTATTTTTATTCATTTGTTACATTTTACCAAACGGGATTAAAATAGTAATCCAAGAGTTTACCCACCAAAATTTCCATGAGCCTCTTTAACAACAGTGAATATAGTGATATTGTTGGGTGTAAAATGGCAACTCTTTGAGCTACCTCCTTTCTTGTAATTAAGACAATTTAGCTTAGCTTCCATTTTTATCAGAAAAATTAACTTTGACGTTAGGCAAAACATATTTTTGTTGTAACAGACAAAACAAACTTACATGGTTATGTTACTTCGTTCAGGTTGAACGAAAGCATAACAAGTGGAGAAAGATGTAAATGTTTATAAGTGCGGTTGTAAGATTTAGAAGATTTTCCAAAAGAATTTTAGTTTTATATAATTCTTTTGTTCCTCTTCTATTGAGCTTACGATCTCGTCACTTGGGCAAAAAATGTTTTTTGTCATAGAAGTTATTTTTTAAATAACTTCTGGGGAGAATATCCCAGACAAGAAACAAGGGAACTGATGAGGATTGGTGGCTCTTTCCGAAACCTAGGTATTCCCTGCCCTACCCCCTGGTAAACATTACCATCGTTCTCCACTCATAAACAAACGTTGTTTTTATAAAAACAACAATAATGGGATTTTGCCTGACGATTTTGCAACAACAAAATACTATTGTATCCCAAACAAGCAAGCCAAACACTGTTCATATTGAGTTTAGATAAAAACAATACGCCTCTTGGAGAGTTATAAAATCGGGAAGGAAGGTTCTCAAACTACTTCGCTGTATTCGCTCTAAATATATATAATACATATCAAAATATATATATATATATATATATATATATATATATATAGTTTTCCATTATTTTTCGATATCATAGAGGGGAAACTGATTATCATAGTAAATGCTTTTTGAAACAATTAATTTCAAATTTCAGCAAAAAAACTTGTTTAGACGAATTCAAAACTTTAATATGAAATCAAATGCCGAATTGTCGTTTTTATGAAGTAGTGCCCAGAACAACTACTTGTTTGACAGATAATGTTTTCCAAACAATTTTTAACCCATCTCCCACAATGATCGAATGTTTTCATAATTTAAGATTATAGCCTCTGGTCGTTTTTTTTTTTTTTTTGGAATCTTATTCATTTTCATTCCATTTCAACGGCTAAGTATTAAAAAAAAAACATTTGATCCGACAAAATAAAGGGAATTACTTGAGGTCATGCTATATGTCTGACACATTTCCCTTGTGGTAATTGTAAGGTCTCTAAATGCTCATGACATGTTACAGTACGATGCTAAAATAGTTCCTTTTTCCATGTTCACACGACATTCTAACTTGCAAAATCTCCTTTCGACATAAGTCGTCATTCATTGATATTAGGCTTTATAATGTCTAATGTGAAGCGAAAACTTTTATAAAGCAAAGAAATGTCAAATGAAAAATTTTATAAAGGAAATATTTTTCATTTCATATTTTTATAGAACAAGAATCCAGCCCCATGTTTTTTTAATTCTTTCTTATGTTATAAATATTATTTTAGAAAATAGGAAGATTCTTATTTGATAACTTCCAATAATGAATGTTGTAAGATTCCTCAACTGCAAACTTTTCTTGCTGATAACAGCACTTCTCGAAACCGTGTGCTAACACATGAGTCCAAAAAAGTAATTATTTGAGAGAAAACCAAAATTTAAATTTTCTTTTTATTTATCAATTAATTTCAATTATTTTAAAACATGGATGTTGTCCAAAATTATTAATAAAGCGATTTTTTAAAAACAGTATAAATTATTTATTATAGAAATTAGACTGGTGAGTGAGGTCTTACTTTTGAACAGCGCTGCTGATAAGGACTCTCCTAATCTTTCGCCGCTTTGATTATCTAAAATTTGTTGCGGCTATTCTTATTAAATGAAATGAGGAACAATATAAGACATTTTTTAACCGAATACTTTATGAAAAAATCGGTCCAATTGAGTTATCTCTTTATTCAATTCCCTTCCGCCAATTGTTATTCATGCTTAACCTCATTTAAAATAATCTTCAAATACCCAAACCAATTTTCTTTTTTTGGAAACACGTTAATTGCAATTAAACTCTTTTGGCCGAAAATGCAAACTGCGTTTTAATCTCCATCTATTTTGAATTTGTAGCACTGTGTTTTATTACTTAGCCCATCTAATACTGCAACAAAGAACCTAAATATTTATTAGAAATTACATATAAAACAAATAAAATAACTTAATAATTTAATTTAAGGAACAAAATCAAAGGTTTTAAAAACCATTTCATTTTCATTACAATTAATATTATTGTTTTTATTACAAAATGAAAAAAACAACTATCTAAAATTGAAGTGTGCACGCACAATCAATCTACATAATCTTATGGTCTAAAAAAGTTAAAAAAAAAACATAATTTTTTATATTTGCAAATAAAAAATAACCATTGTTGAAGTAAAAGATCCAGTTTGTTAAACCCCGGAACCGGGGTGTGGCCTATGTTGCAAATACCAAAGTTTTTTTTTTCATTTTAATCAAGGGACATGATTAAACAAATGTTCAAGTTTCTATAATAATATTAGGTGAATAACCTAATGACTAGTTTGAATTGCAATGGGAGATCGAACGATCAACATCAGCATTTTAATGTTTTCAGTGCTATATGAAAATCCCTAGAAATGAAATTTACATCATTATTAACACATGGACCACCAACTTAAAATGTCTCACATTCAATTTACAACATATTTCAAAACTTTTCTACATTACATAACATATATATTTCATAATTTGTTTACTTTTCGTATAACTTAGTAAGTAGAATAGAAAATTTATATGAAAAAAAGATACAAATTGTTTTTCTTTATGTTGTTTTTTTAACATAGGCAATTAATATAGCTACATATAAAGTGATTAGATTAGAAGAAGAAACATTCTTATACATTAGAGTCTATTTTTTGTATTTTTTCGTATTTTGAAACTCATGTAAATCTTTATTTTCGTTTTGTAGAAAAGTAATTAGTGTAGTATTTTTTTTTTTTTTTAATTATTTGTATTATATTTCGGTTGCAACGAACTCCATGAAAATCTATGTTACCATTGTTTTTTCCTTTTTAACGAGACCCAAAATTAAATCCTTCGAAAGGTGCGATTAGTAAGCATTTATCATTGTTTGAAAAAATACGAAGTCCATAATCCTCCCCAAAAAAAAAAAAAGAAAAATAAATGTTTTAACAATAACAACAGCAACAATAAGAACCAACAACCAACTAATGTACGAGTGACAACAAAAATATTTATTAACTAATTTCCTTTACAAATAATTTTATTATTCATCATTTACAAAAAATAATGTAACAAGAAAATATGTATAACAAACAAACAATAAAAAACAATGTAAATTTGTTTCGTGAAATAAGTAAACAAAAAACGGAAACAAACATTAACTGATTTTTTATTTGGAGGAAAGGTAAGAGTTTGCCAACATTTAAATATTGATGGGATCTGTTATCTATTAAAATATAACTGAGGTAACCAAAAATTAAGAAAAAAAACTAAGGTAAACTCAAAAGAAAAGCATCAATTCCTTTAGTATATCAACAAGTCAAAAACATTAAGTTCGGCTGGGCCGAACTTTTAATACCCTCCACCTTAGGATAAGGGAAACATTAGAACCCATTATGACCCACAAATACCAATTTTTAGACATATTCGTTTGAAAATATGGCAAAAATCATCAAAATATCGAATATCGGGAGGTACTGCTATATGGGACCTACACATACAATGTTTTGCCAACGGAGCTAGAACCCATTAGGACACACAAATACCACTTCCTAGACAAATCCGCGAAGAAATGTTGCGAATATTATCAATATACCGAATATCTGGAGGTACCGTTATATGGGAGCTATACCAAAACGTGGATCTATGTATGCAATGCTTCCCCATTCAATAACATTTAAGAAAAATGTAAAAATTATTGCGTTTGACTTTGTTGTAGTTTTTTTATCTCACCCTGTAGAGTCAAATCAGCTGGAGCTTGTTGCTACCTGTAATAATTATAACATGGGTATAATCATGGTACAATAAGGGGGTAGAACATCTTCGTAAAACTACAAAAATACAGCCCTGAGCCTATGCCCGCTTCCTGTCAGACTCATTCAAAATCATTGTTTTCTTTTTTTTTCATATTTTTCCTCATTTTTAAAATGAGTTGAATAGCGCAAATATTGAATAAAATGTATGGATTTTTCTCTCAAAAATATAATCATAAATGTTCAATCTTTCAATTTCATGGCTATACTGGTTAATAGCTTTAATGCGCGAGCCGCAATTCATGTGTCTTCCAATCATTGGTTTTGAATTTTTTTTTTCATTTTTCAAAAAAATTAATACACACACAAAATTGGCAGAAGTCGGGCACACTTAGAAAAAAAATTGTAATCAGCTGTTAGCTCTACCTTACCTTTTTATTGTACCATGGGTATAACCATGGTACAATAAGGAGGTAGAACAGCTTCGTAAAACTACAAAAATACAGCCCTGAGGCTATGCCCGCTTCCTGCCAGACTCATTCAAAATTATTGTTTTCATTTTTTTCATATTTTTTCCTCATTTTTGAAATGAGGAAAATGAATAAAATGCGAGAAATGAATAAAATGTCTGCAATTTTCTTTCAGAAATATGATCCCAACTGTTCAATCTTTCAATTTCCTGGCTATACTGGTTAATAGCTTTAATGCGCGAGCCGCAATTCATGTGTCTTCCAATCATTGGTTTTGAAAATATTTATTTTTCATTTTTTCAAAACAATTAATACATACGCAAAATTGGCAGAAGTCGGGCACTCTTAGAAAAAAATTGTAATCAGCTGTTAGTTCTCCCTTACCTTTTTATTGTACCATGGGTATAACCTTGGCACAATGTAATCAAGGTAGGGCACTGAAACCAATCGATTTTATTTTTAAGTTGCCTAGCTTAATATGCCAAATCAATTTAATTTCAATAATATGAAATTTTTTGAGAAAATGACTTAATATTTGATTTAAGATTTGTATAAAATAATGAAAATAAATTTGTTACCAATAAGAAAAATGCATTTTTGAGTTAAGTCTCTCTTTGTGTATGAAAGCGGTATCTTATGTTTCAATTATACTTACCACGTTGTTACAGATAATTTAACAATTAACGCTAATAAACTCTGTGAATATATTTCTTTAACCTAAAATAGCTAAATATGTGCTAAATAGAAAATACTGTACATTTCAAGGAACACATTATGCAAAAATGATTTATTTTATTTATTGTGGAAAATTAAACATTAATTGTAAGACATTACATTTTTCTTTTATTTTTGTTTAATTTTCATTGATTACATGTCAGACGTTAATTACAGTATTATTCCATTGCAAATGAAACACCAAAATCGATTAAAATTTTTTTAAGTTAAGAAGTCCATAGTTTTACTGTAGCGCTATAAAATCAGGGCCACAATCAAATTTGTTTTTTCTTTCTGCATTGTACAAAATCGTACACAAATAGACTGGACTCTTGACTCCATACATGAAATAAGTATCTTGTATTCTGTATATTCTTTGAATTGTTCAGTTGTGTGGGAGTAGTGTCAATTTTGAATTGGCATTGATTTCCTGTATGTGTTTGTTTTGTCGCTTCTGATTTATTGCATAATAATACAATATTTTAATGAAATGTATGAAATAAGGTTCTCCATCTTCTTTTTCTTCTCCTCGTTACATTGGGTTTGCAAATAACTGCACATGGGTGTGTGTGTAATTTTCGATTGTTTTAATATTATTGATGGATTTTTCGATTTTTTTCTTGTTTATTAATTATCAGACGCTTCTTGTATTGTTGTTGATGATTCGGGTGTCAGCAAAGGTTTTTTGGGACTTGGTTCGGTGGAATCATCATGATCTGGTTCAGCAACTCCCGCGGAAGCTGCAACTTCATCAACCTTTGCAACATCATTACAGGTCGCCCCTTCTCCATTGCTTTCGCTGTTTTCTGCCGAATTTGCAGTACTTATGTCATCGGGATGGGATTGTTTACGTTTTTCTATGCGCTCCACAAGAGCACTGTGCAAATTTTTTATCTCCGCTGGACGAGCCATAACTAAAAATATTTTTATTTTACCCGTATTATCCATTGCTGTGAGTCTTAAAGATTTTTGACTAGGTCTTTCAGCAACCATGCCACCCCAGACCTAAAATCGAAGAAAATAACAATTTTAGAATTAGGTGTTAATAAAATACAATTTACGAAATCAAGCCTAGTTTAAGAAATTCACAACAATATTTTTGCCTATTCATACTATCATACAATCATATATCATATCATACAATTTTTTCCAGAAACGCTCTATAAACCAAGATTAAAATGTTGGAAAATGCTTTTATATATAAAAACTTCGTTTTCTGGTGTTTTGTCATTGTTGATCCTTATTTTAGACTATTGGTAGTGGCGTTAACTTTTTTTTAGTACCGGGTATTTTTATTCATTTGTTACATTTCACCAAACGGGATTAAAATAATAATCCAAGCGTTTACCCACCAAATTTTCCATGAGCCTCTTTAACAACAGTGAATATAGTGATATAGTGTTGGGTGTAAAATGGCAACTCTTTGAGCTACCTCCTTTCTTGTAATTAAGATAATTTAGCTTAGCTTCCATTTTTATCAGAAAAATTAACTTTGACGTTAGGCGAAATATATTTAGTTTAGATATATAATAAAAAATGTTTCGAATTAAAATGGAGTTATTGTAAATGATGCCCGATCCAATCTGATATTTTGCGGGTCATACGACTAAGGAAATAGAAAATTCGAATAAAAATCGACTAACGGTGGCTTTTGTTTGCATACCTAATATGCATTCAGTTATTCATTCTCATGCACTTACCTTGGTATTAAGTAAAAGACGTAGGTTTCCGGCGGTTCTAAATACCAAACGCGAACATTCATGTTCGATTCTGGAATCATTAAGGCGTAAACTACCACGGCCACGTTCCTCCCAATTGCTATTGACAAATGCAAACAATTTACAATTTAACTGTTAAGAGATATAAAATTTAAATTACTTCTAAATTCCAGCTAAATGAAATTCACCCAACTTACATCCACAATATTCATTTCATTTTCTTCGCCGGTAAATGTTTCAACTTCTTCATATTTACGTTTTTGAGCACGACTCTCTTCATATTCACGTGCAACATCTGTCAGGCTCTTAGCTTCAGCATTAGCATCTTTTTCAGGGTTTTCTGTTGGTTTTGCCGCAGCATTTTGTATTACACTGGAGAAGAGCAACTCACCAGAAGCTGCAGCGGAAGCATCATCATTGTTTGATTCAGCTGGTTTATCCGACTTTAGATGTTCCTGTTGTTAACGTTGTAGAGTCTTATTTGAACAACAATTTTCTATTATTTCCATAATTACTTACCCCTACGACACGTTCATGCAAATTTTGTCCGAAAACAAAACCGGACTTTTCCACCAATGGTATAGAGCTTTTTGCGGCTGCAAATAAATTAGCACGTTCCATACCATTTTTACGCAAAAGTGTTAGGGGATCAGCACGCTCTTCAGATGACTCCTCATTGTCTGTGCCCTTATTGTTTTCGTCAACCTTGCTGGATGTTCCAGCGTCATCATCGTCCTTGATCTCCTTTAAAAATGGGTTACTGTTAGAAGCCTCGTTGGATTTTTCGGCCGGCTTTGCGCCACCGCTGTCACAACCACCCAATGCCGCAGCTTCCTGACCATCAGCCGGCGTTGATGTGGCATTTTGTGCACTGCTTGAGGATAGAGCCGAACCTAATCTGGATGGTCCCAACACTGACGGACGTAAAACGCCGGCTCTAAGTACTGGATTCGCACCAACGCTTCCGCCTCCAGTCAAACGAGAGCTTTGTAGCAAAGAATCACTTCCCAGACTACTGGATTCATTGGAATTATCTGAAATCCGACAATATTAATATACAACAAATAAAATGAGAGCTAGTTGTTGTGGTGGTGGTAATTGCATTGACATTTCAAAAACAGGCCTATGCGTTCACTCCACCGCTTGTCAGTCATTATAGCCATTTTCTTCGACAACGGCATCCCCAATCATCATTTTTATTAACACTCGCCGAGTTACCACTTACTTACCATTGTTTTCCGACATATTTTTGTTGTTTTTATTTGTTATTGAATGTTTATTAAGAATATAAATTGCTAAATTGGTTAGATTTGAGGGTAGACAACGAAGCGGAACGATTATTTAGGCGGCGGCGGCTTATCATGTGTAAACCAATCGGCGGCGCCGCGCTGTGCTTTCTATGCACGGTTGCCACACTTAGTAAAATTCTACCAAAATTGGCAACTTTCAAGCACATTGAATGTGTTGATACATAAACAGCATGGTAGAAGAATACAGGTAGATGCCTCAACGCTTGGGAACATTGATATGTCAAAAAAATTTAATTTTTTTTCAAAAATATATTGATTTTTATATGATTTCTTATGCGACGCCACTCGGAGGTTGTTATGAAATACATTTTTCAAGAATTTGTACAATATTAAATAATTTTTCATTCAACATCTTCAATTACAAAATTGGTTTGAAAGTTCATTGTCCCAGCAGACGCGTCTACCTATATTCTTCTACCATGATAAACAGTTTGGCATCATGGTGCCATAATTGCTCTGTTCCAGAACTACAATAACATAAAAGTTGTTTGTTTTCATAAATTTTCGCTTGTCAAGCTAGTGGGCCATTCACATCTTTCTATATTGCAAAATATACAAAGGCATTGGCAAGTAGAAAAAAAGAATGTAAAACATCTTTATTACGGTAAACGATTTTTTCATTATGATATCGGAGAAAATTGCAAAACTAGTAGCTAGAACAGAGCAGATGTCAATCCTTTAATCGATCATCACTGTTAACGAATATAGCATTAAAGAACTAACTGAACCGGTGTTTTATTTCGCATTCATTTTCTTTTGACATAAATAAACTGGCATTAAATAATTGTACTGTTCCCAAACCTGCAGTAATCTGTTTTTTTTTTTTTTTTTTTTTTTTTTGATATCATGAAGGGAAAATTGGTTATCGTAGTTTTATTTTTACAAAATAATGCGAATGAAAACACCAAAATTGTATTCAATGAAAAAAAAAGATTGAAATAATAGGCCCGTTCTTATATATTTTTTTTCTCATTTGTTATCACCAACTTTAGGAAAACTAAAGGATAAAGTTCACATTATCGGGTTTTCATTATTACATCTTTCGCTTAAAAATATGGCAAACTTTTTGTAAAAGTAACAGGTAGTCACTGAATTTTTTCACAATCGCATCTTCATTTTAGTTTAAAAAAAATAATAATTAATTTCGTGAAATAAATCTATAAATCAGTTTTTCAATATAAAATACACGATTTGCATTATCAATTTTTAAGTGTTTAAATAAATTTTGCTTTTATTGCCATATTATCAATATAACATATGCCAACATGAAATATTATTAATAATTTACGTCAAAAGATAAGGGGAAATGGTCTGACTTTTTGCTTATCATACTTAAATAAAACCATGGTAGAAGAATATAGGTCGACGCTTTGACACAGCTGTTGGGACAATGAACTGTCAAACCAATTTTAGAATCGAAATTTTTGAATAAAAAATTATTCAAATTTGTAAAAATTGTTAATAAGTGCATATTATAAAATCCTCCGATTGGCGTCTAGAGGAGAACATATATAAATCTACTTATTTTTGAAGCAACATTAAAATTTTTTGATATTTCAATGTTCCCAAGCATTGATGCATATACCTCCCATAGTGTTGGTATTTTATTATTCAGGCCATGGTAAATGCATCGACACAGCTGCTAGGACAATAAACTGTCAAACCAATTTTTGAATTGAAAATGTTGAATTAAAAATTGTTTAAATTTGTAAAAATTGTTGAAAACTGCTAATTATAATAAACTCCGAATGACTTCGTATAAGAAAATATATAAAAATATACTTATATTTGAAAAAAAAAAATAATTTTTTTGACATATCAATGCTCACAAGCTTTGATGCATCTACCTGTATTCCTTTGCCATGATTCAGGCCTTTTAGGTATGGATACGTAAGCAGCTTGAAGTATTCGCATAGCATATTTTGTGACATATCATAAAGGGATCCCAGAGCCACACTCGCATCCTCCATCAAATGTGGGCACATAAGCAGCTTGTCATCGTGGATTTCAATGTCAAATTACAAGAAAAAACTACTGCAGGATTGGAGTGCGAGTGCAAGTGCATCAAAATAGTAAAGTAAAATATGAAATTCGTAGACTTAATCATGGTACAATAACAGGAGGTAGAATAAAGCCACTTTTTTATTATTCTTATATTCTGTCAATACATATATACAGGTTGTATCTGGGTAACATGGTAGAATTAAAAAGGTAAAGTCGTGCAATCACATGTTTAATTTTTTTCTAAAATATTCATTTAACAACATCTCATTGTTAATATAAATCCTAAATAAATCCTGAACCTACACTAATCAGAGATGGGAACCTGTTTTCTTAATTTTACCATGAATTATTTATATGACATCTCATTGTAAAAATTCGTATGGTAGAATCAAGAAGGTAAAGTTATTTCAGATAAACATTCCCTTCATTTTCTCTAACAGAGCTTGTCAAATACAATATTTCTTATGAACTGTCACAACAAAAACAAGATTATAACAATTCAAAAATACATTTATAACTATTCAAATATTCAATCTATTTTGTGAAATGATATTATACAGGATAAAGCGTAGGAACATCTTAACTTTCTCGAATCCACAAAATATATATATACATCAAGGAACATATCAAAAATTTTCAGCTAAAGTAGGGAGTTTAATCTCAAGAATTAAAATCACACGTTTCGTCGTTTAAATATTATTGTTTTTGTCACGGGTTTTTGGTATCCAAAAAATTGTCGGTACCCCTAATATACATACATCCATTCCAATTGAATTTTGTAAACAAACACAGTGTTGTAACAAAAGGTATTATAATACTAATATATGAACTCAACTTTGTATTAGTCTTACGTGTGAAAGAAAAAAGTAAATTTTTCAGGAAAAGAAATAAATAATACGCTAATATATTTGTAAATATATGGAAGATGTTCTGTTAGTACTTTCCACATTTTCAAAGATTTGATAACAAAATATCAGGTAAGCAGGTAAACGCAATTGACCCCAACAACTAAGCTGATATCCACGTCAGTCGAGACGAAATTTAAAATACAAAACACAACAACCAAAAAGGAAAACAAAAGTGCGAAGACGATACTTTATATTTTGAATAAATTTATTTGGCGTTTCACAATTTCATATTAATATCTTCAATTTTGTAGAGTCAGATACGTACAGCATCGCCACAATGAAACTGGGCTTAATTGCCATCGCTGCTATACTGTTGATTGTACAGACTTCACAATGGGAAACGGCAACAGCTGAATTACAAGGGCCGGAGGTAGTTTCGCCATCCGTTGATGCAACAGAGAAATCATCATCTAATAAAGACAAAGAAGATGGCGATAGTAGTTCAACAAATAAGTTGGATCGGGAGACGCCTGAAAGTGTTGGTAGAGGCGAAGCTTCTGATGTTCCCAGCAATTTACGCAAAGCCTCTAAATATATTGACGATCAAATGGAAGCCGCAAAGGCGGCAGCACAAATTGCTGCCAATATTCAAGGTTCCGAGGCAGATGGGAAGAACAAATTGCTGAAATTTGCAATTTTCGAACGTTTATGGAGTGAAGAAGTCGTGCGTAAGAAACTACAGGAAGAAATTTTGCTCTTGGAGGCCAGGCAACAACCACAAGAAGTTCTTGATCCTACACCGGAACAAGTTGAAGGTATATAATGAGTATCGTGCAAATATTTGTTTTAACTTATTATATTTTTGTTGGTTTCAGCCGAGAGCATGTACGAAAACGCCATGGAAATGTTATCCAAACCCAACTCGGATAAACGTGTTGCCTTTACATTAATACGCAAAGCAGCAGAAATGAAGCACAGTAAAGCTCGTGCGGAATTAGCGTGGGCCAAAGTATTAGGACATTACATGGATTTCGATTTTGAATATGCAGCAACAGAGTTCGACGAACTGGCTAAAGAAGGTCTGCCTGAAGCAAATATGGTAAGTACTTGCATATGTATGCACATAGAGATATATTGAAAAAAATACAAATAGGACGAAATAGTGTTATTTGTGGTAAATTATTTTAAGCTTTATAGCTGTTATAATAATATAGTATACAATAGCATTCCTACGGTGCATAACATCCCAAGGCGTTCTTTTCTTCAAGACATAGTTTATATGATTACGTGTTAATTATTCCTTTGATAAGATAATGCATTAAACAGTACTTAAATTTGACTGATAACAACTTGTATAGACTCATGTAGATTTTAGTGTTTAAATGCTTTCAAAAATATTCTTTTACCCTTGATATTAAAATGCAAAAATGCTAAGTAACATTCCATATTTCCAGGGCCTTGCTTTCCTCTATTCGGTTGGTGTGGGTGGCAAAAATGTCAGTCAACCATTGGCTTTAATTCATCTAACATTGGCTGCTTTGGGTGATCATACATATGCTCAAATGGCATTAGGCTATCGTTACTCATTTGGTATAAATGTACCAGCTAGTTGTGAAAAGTCGCTTACCTACTATAAGAAAGTGGCTAAAAAGGTTGCACAAAAAGTAACATTTTCCAGCGGCCCTTTGGTGCATCGTGTCAGATTGTTGGATGAATTGGAAAATCCAGGAAGTCAAGAAACGGAAATTGTTGACTACTATCAGTTGTTGGCCGACAAGGGTGATGTTCAGTCACAAGTTGGATTGGGTCAACTATATTATCAGGGTGGCAAAGCTATACAACAAGACCATCAAAAAGCTTTGGAGTATTTTACATTAGCTGCTAATGCGGGCAATGCGATTGGTTATGCCTTTTTGGGCAAACTTTATCTTGAAGGCAGTGAACATATCAAAGCAGATAATGAAACAGCATTTAAGGTAAGAAGAATTGTTATGTGATACTTTTGAAGAAATGATCATTAAAATGTTTTGATTTTTCAGTATTTCTCTAAGGCTGCCAATTTGGGTGATCCCGTGGGCCAAAGTGGTTTGGGTTTAATGTATCTTAAAGGTTTGGGTGTACCCAAAGATCCGCTGAAGGCTTTAAACTACTTCACAATGGCTGCCGATCAAGGATGGGTAGATGGTCAATTAATGTTGGGAAATATGTACTTTAGTAAGTGTTTGAGGAAGTGTTTACAATATTTTATAACTTTTATTTTTGCACTGCTTTTTAGCCGGAAATGGTGTGAAAGCCGACTTTAAATTGGCTCTTAAGTATTTTAACTTGGCTTCACAGTCCGGTCATGTCTTAGCGTATTATAATCTAGGTTTTATGCATGCCTATGGCATTGGTATGCTGCGCTCTTGTCCAGCTGCTGTAGAGGTAATTGTATAAAATATATTTATTTCGTTACAATTTTTTAATTTTTTATTTTTTTATATTGTTTAGTTCTTCAAAAATGTTGCTGAACGCGGCCGTTGGAGCACTAATTTGATGCATGCTTATTCAGATTATAAAAACTATCGCATCAATGAGGCCTACATGCAATATGCCTTATTGGCGGAACTAGGCTATGAAGTTGCTCAATCAAACGCCGCCTTCCTACTGGATCGTGGTGACGTTTCCATATTCCATGATCGCAATGAAGAACTGATTAGAGCGTTTTACTATTGGAAACGTGCTGCATCACAGGGCTACTCAGCGGCCCAAGTTAAATTGGGAGACTATTACTATTATGGTTGGGGCACAAATGTAGATTTTGAAACCGCGGCTGCTCTGTATCGCAAAGCATCCGAACAACAATATAACGCACAAGCAATGTTTAATTTAGGTTATATGCATGAAAAAGGTCTGGGAATGAAAAAGGACTGGCATTTGGCCAAGCGTCTCTATGACTTGGCAGCCGTAACAAATGCAGATGCTAAAGTTCCGGTGGCTATAGCGCTGTTGAAACTGCAATTGTTGGCCAAAATGGAGTCGATAAAAGAGGTAAGTAAAGTAAATTAAGAGATAAAGTGTTCAATAAGTATTTTATACCACTATTTAGAAGTTCTTGAGCAATACCATATATTATTAGTTTATTTATTTTATTCAAAATTATTTAATTCAAATTTATATTTGTAATAAAAGAAGAAAAAAATTTCCTATTTTTTAGTCTCCTTATAAGTTCATATTTTACTTGGATGAAAATATAGCCGCAAACTGGGATTTATATATGATTACTATTTTAACATTGTTGCTTGGATTTATAATGTATACCCGACGTACTCATGAACAACGCCAACAAAATCAAGCAGACAACAACCAAGCTCAAGCTCAACCGGATGCAAATGCTAATCCAGTTAATAATGAAAATATTGTGCCAAATGGTGCAAATGACAATGAGATCGCAACTACTGCATCAGTTACTACAACAGACACAGCCGTAGCCAGCTCTGCAACAACTTCAACAAGTTCTTCAACGTTAAACACAACAACATCAAGTTCTACACCTTTATCTACAACGGCGTCATCAACGACGACCACAACGACAACTAACACATCCCCGAAAGCAACAGCATCATTACCCTCAGCTTCTTCGAACTCCACCGCTGATCCCACGGAGTAGTAGTGATAATTTTTGTTTTAATATTTGTATTTACTCTTAACATAATTTTTTCAAATTGCAAACACAATAAATAACAACAGATCCCTCATGTTAAATAGGTAACCAATCGTGCACACAAAATCACCCTGTATTCCGCTTAAATGGAACAATTGTAAAGTTAACTCTTCCTTACCTTTTTTTACTTTAATTTGGAACAAAGAGAACTACTGTCTGATGTTATATGTATATATTTTGCGACAATCGATTCCTTTTTTGCAATATTCAGTAATTTTAGTTTATTCCTTAGCTTAGTTTCTTTCGATCTTAGTTTGAATGCAAGGAAATGCCCTGGAGTTAATCACAAAAAAAGAAAGGAAAAAATATTATTCTTTGTCATTTGTTGTGTATATTTTTTAATGATAAATATAATAACTAACCCTTAGCGTGAATAACAAATTGCAAGATTTTATTTTGAGTTTCTTGTGTAATGATTATAAAACAAAATTATTATTTTTCTAATATTATGTCAAAGAAGAACTGAAGACGTATAAAATACATATAAAACTTGAAAAAATAATAAGTGTTTTTCGTATTATTCTAAAACTGGAGTTAATCACAAAAAAAGAAAGGAAAATTATTATTCTTTGTCATTTGTTGTGTATATTTTTTAATGATAAATATAATAACTAACCCTTAGCGTGAATAACAAATTGCAAGATTTTATTTTGAATTTCCTGTGTAATGATTATAAAACAAAATTATTATTTTTCTAATATTATATCAAAGAAGAACTGAAGGCGTATAAAATACATATAAAACTTGAAAAATTAATAAGTGTTTTTCGTATTATTCTAAAACGTAAATATTCGCAACTATTACTAAGTGTACCTATTTCAGGTTGCCTTTTTTATTCAAACATAATTAACCCAAAACGAAAAAAGTTTATTCCAGAACATGGTAGAAGAATATAGTAATAGTAATACTAGTGTTTTTTACTTTACCTGGGATGCCTTTTTTTATTAACAAGAGGGTTTTTTTATTGTTTAAAATTCAATTAAAAAATAAATTCTTTATTCACTTGATTTGTTTTAAGTTTTCGTGGTTTCCAGTGGTTTTTTGTGGCAAATTCAAATTTTGTGATCGTGTTGTTGAAATACAATAATTAGTGTGATTTTTGTTGTATTTTTTGTGTAACAATTCATGTAAATTTTATGTATGATTTTTTGTGTAACAATTCATGTATTTTTGTAAATTTTGTAAATTTTGTATTGACTTGTGATCGTGTTGTATATTTGTTGATTAAGTAATTTTATGATGTTTGTTGTGTGTAGTATGAAAATGTTCTGAAATTATGTTTGTTAATTTAAATGTTCACTTTATTTTCTTTAATTTTCACTTGTCACTGGGGAGCACTTTTAACTTTCGCGGGCGCGATTTCAAAACGAACTGTGTCGATGCCTAATTTGCATCAGCTCAGCAACCAAATTTGCAAATCAATTTGTTGCTTATTTACTTCCAGTCAGTTGGAAGTTACCGGTGACTGCGTATTTGTATTGGTGCAACATATATTACATATATTTACAATTTTGCCGCAGTGGCCGTTAACTCCAACTGACAGTGGAGATCAAAAGTTTACGCATTCGTAAACATTTCTGGGCCCCCGAGTGACAAGTGTAAATCTTCAATTCCGCTTGCTCCATACAATTTTCAGCAGCAGGCATGTTCCGGATCGGTCCAGCGAACACATATCCCAGTTGTGTGTTGAACGCCCGTACATCCCCTAATCCAACCGCCACACACCCACTTTTGCGAATCGCGTTGTATGTATCCGCCCCTAATTCCACATCTATGGGCGTGTTCCCCCTAGGATCTGGGTCGGCGATGGCGTAATTAGTGAAGCCCCGGGTGGGGTCTTCCAACAGAGCCTCCGAATAAAGTCGCCTGGGTAGTTTGTCGCTCACCACCGCATTTACTTGCAGAGACCAGCTGCTGCTTATTCTTCTGGGTCGTATAGTGAATGTGGTTATGCGTTGCCCCTTATATATACGGTGCTGCAGCCCAAACCGCCTATATGCCGCATATGAAATGGTGGTCATTGTTGCCGACTGGCTCATCAGTGCCCGCACCATCACGAACCCTTCCATCCCTTCGGCCATTAATCTGATCATTACGGTGGGCACCAACACCAAATCCCATGCAAAGGCTGGTGCGTTTATAGCTTCCATATTCAGAGGCACCTCATCCAGCTGCGATGCCCCGTGCAGGGTCGTATGGTGCCTGCTGTCGCAACGTCTGCAGCCATCCAAACTGGGGCAATCGGGGGCAAGATGGCTCCTTGCCAGACAGTTCCGACAATAACCACGTCTTTCCACCGTCTCATACCTCTGAAACGGGGTCTGTCGCCGGAACACCGGGCAGGAGTAAAGGCTGTGGTCCTGTTGGCACAGTCCACAGGAGTACTGCCAGTTGCTGGGTCTCTCGCTTACAAGGCGTCTGTTGGGCCTTGCCTCACGTCTGCTCCTCGGTGGCTGGTTGGGACTGCGGGCTCTTCGATTAGGTTGTGGGGCTTGGCGGTTGGGGCTCCGGGCTGAGTTACTGGGGCTGCGGCTCCGGTCTTCCAGGCGCCAGTCTTGATTTGGTAGATAAGCAGCCATATCTGTAAAAAACAAGAAGCGAGTACTATGTTCTTTTAGGAGGAAATATCCGGCTAGTCAGTCGGAGAATAGTTTAACAATTTTGGTAATGGGTCTGCTTATATTGCCACCAGAAGTCCGTATATCCACTACCCGGGTATTTTGATCCGTGCCCTGATAAGATTTTTGAACGCGACCCAACTTCCACTCGTTTGGAGCGAGTCTGTCATCCTTAACCACTACTAAATCTCCCTCTTTAACGTTGTCTTTTTGGTATTTCCATTTGGTTCGTCGATGGAGTTCATGCAAATATTCTAACTTCCATCTGTTACAAAAATATTGGGAAATCACTCTAAGTCGTTTCCACCTATTTACTAAATTTATGTCTGTGTCTGAAACATCGGGCTCCGCTGGAGCAAGCATTGATGTCCCTATAAGAAAATGACCGGGAGTCAAGGGTGACAAATCATTAGGATCGTCGCTAGATGGACTTAATGGTCGCGAATTGAGACAAGCTTCTATTCGGGCTAAAATTGTTGTAAATTCCTCAAACGTGAAGTTCATTTTCGGTATACTTTTCTTTAAATGAAGTTTAAATGACTTAACTCCTGCTTCCCACAAGCCACCCATGTGCGGTGCACCAGGTGGGATGAATTTCCAACTAAGATTTTGGTAAAAATTGCTATCAATCGTACTTGTTTGAAGGCTTTTGATAAGCGCAATTCTATCTCTTTTTATTAAATCGACAGCTCCAACGAAATTGGTTCCATTGTCGGAATAAATACAAGACGGACACCCTCGGCGGCTAACGAATCTTGAAAACGCGGCAAGAAATGCGTGGGTTGAGAGGTCGCTTGTAGGCTCTAAATGTATTGCCTTGGTCGCAAAGCAGACAAAAAGACACACATAACCTTTTGTGATGAAACAAGCTCTTCCAGAATAACTTTTGATGTTGAAGGGTCCCGCAAAATCAACACCAGTATTTGTGAAGGGTCTGGACAGAAAAGTTCGTTCGGGTGGAAGTGATGCCATTATTTGTTCCTGCGTCCTTTTTTTATGTATAATGCATATTTTACAGTGACGAAGGATTTTCTTGACCAGCGACTTTAGTCCAAATATCCAGAATTCGGACCTTATTATTCGAGTCATCAACTGATTTCCGCCATGCAAAGTGAGTTTATGAACAAAGTCCACCAACAACTGGCTAAAGATTGCTCCATGTGGCAAAATTATAGGATGACGTTCATTGTATGTTAAGGCAGTAGATTGTACCAATCTTCCATTGGCTCTCACGATGCCTTTCGAATCTAAAAACGGATTTAAGGTCAAAAGTGGACTTGTTGATGAAATTCGAGTCTTTTTCCTCAATGCTTCATATTCGTTCATGTAGAAGAACCTTTGAGTCTGTATTATGCTTGCTCGTTTTCCATCTTGAATTTCGGCAGCTGTAAGCTCGTTTGACGTCATCCTAAGTTGTCTGTCTGATCCAGTGTTTTTCCTGAACCTCAAAGCATATGCGTATGAACGATAAACTTTAGCTAACGATGAGAAATTCTTTAAGGGGTCATCTTTTTCCTCAAGCAGCGTAAGAGTTTTGACTGCTTTTGCCTCTAAATTAGTATCGCTTTCAATTGTATTTGATGGCCAACGGTCCTTGGGCCATGTGAGCCAGTGAGGTCCATGCCACCAGAGTTGTAGATTATGCAATTCGAGAGGTGAACATCCTCGGCTGGCTATATCAGCTGGATTGTTTTCAGAGTCAATGTGCCTCCAGTTCTCTTGACCCACACCCTCAGAAATCTCCGAAACTCGGTTTCCTACAAATGTGCTCCAATGACAAGGTGGCTTTTTTAACCAAGCCAACACAATCGTGGAATCTGTCCAAAATTGGGTCGTATAGTGAGAAATTTGTAGATTATTCGTTATCGATACGGCCAGTTTGGATAACAGAACTGCGCCACATAATTCGAGTCTAGGAATAGAGAGCTTTTTGATCGGAGCTACCCGAGTCTTTGCAGCTAACAAGAATGTATGTGCGCTTTTGTCAGTATTTTCGACTCGAATGTATATGGCTGCTCCATATGCGTTTTCCGAAGCATCACAAAAGCCATGAATTTCCACCGTACTGTCTGCGGTGTATTGAATCCATCTTGGTACTTTAAGTTTTTCTATATTTTGGCTATTTTTCACGAAATTATTCCAGTTTATTTGGGTCAAAGGCTTCAACGTTTCATCCCAATCAATTTTGTCCAGCCAGATTTGCTGCATTATAAGTTTTGCTACAACCACCACTGGCGCCAGCCATCCACAAGGGTCAAACAATTTGGCTATTGTTGATAGGACTTCTCTTTTTGTATGTCTTTCTTGATTTTCCATTTGTGGTGGCGTAAAAGAGAAAAAATCTGCGGAAATATTCCATCGAATCCCCAATGTTTTTGTGGAAGCATCCTCAGAAATATCTAACCAATTCAGTGGCAGTAAATTTTCTTCCGGAATATCTTTGATTACATTGTGTTCATTTGAGGCCCATTTCATTAGAGTAAATCCAGCTGAGTCCAAAGCAGCTACTAATTCCTTTCTGGCCATGATTGATTCCTCCAATGTATGGCCCCCAGCCAGTACATCATCAACGTATAAATTATTCAATATTATATCCGCTGCTCTAGGGTGCGAATCTTTAACATCCTCTGCTAACTTAATGAGAGTTCTCAATGCCAAAAACGGCGCGCAATTTACTCCAAAGGTCACTGTTAGTAGTTCGTAATCCTCTATAGGGTCTGATGGTGATTTCCTGAATAAAATCCTTTGATATTTTGTTTGACTTGGGTCTAAAAGTATTTGCCGATACATCTTTGTAATGTCGGCGTTAAATGCGTATTTGAAAAATCTCCATTTTAAAATTTGTAGTACCAAGTCCTGTTGTAATATGGGTCCAGGAAATAGTATGTCGTTTAGACTTGTTTTATTCGATGAAGGGCATGAAGCGTTGAATACGACTCTTAACTTTGTTGTAATACGGTCTGGCTTTATAACTGCGTGATGTGGCAGGTAATAATTGGGCATATCGTTAATTTCATTTGGGTTAATTTTCCTCATGTGGCCAAGTTCGAGGTACTCGAGTATCGAATTGTCGTACTGTTCCTTGATATCTGCTGTTTTCATAAGTTTCCTTTCCATTCGATAGAATTGAGCTAAAGCAATATTTCTAGAAGTCCCCAATTCCTCGCATTTTTTAAATGGGAGAGTCACAACATATCTTCCATTTTTGTTCCGTATTGTTGTGTCAATGAAATTCGATTCGCAATATTGGTCTTCTTCTGACCGTAAAACTTTTTTAGGGGTCTCTTCCACCTCCCAAAAACGTGTAAGTATTTTCTCAATGGATGTTGTGTTTAACAATGCAATTTGTTTTCGTTGGCTAGCATTTCCAGGAATGGGTCCTCCTACAATCCATCCAAATTTTGTACTTTGAGTTAAAATTGATCCATAAGTTTTCATTGGAATCCCAAGCGTAAATATCAAAGGTCCTATATCCATACCGATGAGTAAATCAATTGGTCGACTAATGTAGAATTTCGGATCAGCAAGTTCCAATGATGTTAAATCTCTAAGTTGTGATTTGTGTAAGTTTTGTGGTGGTAGATTTGATGGTAAGTTCTTTAAAACTGGAGCCCAAACTTCCAGTTTAAAGCTAGGGTCGAATTTGGATCGTAAGGTAAACAGACAAGATTTCGTTGATGTCTCTGAAACGAATTGACTTAAGCCAGTAACATGAACTAAGCTGTTTCTTGTTGGCAACTTCAGAAGATTTTTAAGTTTTTCCGAAATAAATGTTGATTGTGATCCAGAGTCTATGAGCGCTCTTGCATCGTAAAGTTGTCCTCTGGTTTCTATCTGCACCATGGCTGTAAAGAGTAGTGTACCTCCAGATTGTTGCTGACTAATTGGCTTATCTTGAAGGGTCAAAGTTGTAACTGTAGCTGGTTCTAGGTTTGGTGTGGACTGTATTTCTGTTGTTTGAGCGGCGGCACTTGTTCTAGGTCTTGTCTCCACTCTAGCTAGGTATGTATTTGTAGATTGGGTTTCCGTTCCCTTATGTAACAAAGTATGATGTCTCATTGTGCAAGTTCGACATCCAAATCGACTTTTACAATCCTTTACACCATGGTGCGCTGACAAACAGTTATAGCATAAATGAGATGTTTTCACGATATGAATTCTATCATTTACATTTTTTCTTAAAAACTCCGTGCAATCTCTGACAAAATGATTAGCCTTGCACACTTGGCATTGTTGGGCATTTTGTGTATTGTTGTTTGGGCGGTTCTGTTGTTGATGCTGATTAGAATTTGGCCTTCCTCCCAAATTATTCGTATTCTTTGTGACATTTGTTTGAAATGTATTCGAAAATCTGGGTTTGTTGTAAGTGGGTTGTTTCTGTTGACAAAATTTCGAAGTCGTAGGCTTTATATTTCCAACAGATTCCATAGTTTTGAATTTGTTCGTTAAAAATGTGTCGAATTGTTCCCATTCTGGAAGTATTTTGCAGTTACTCAGTGATTTCTCGAATTCCTCTAGAAAATTTCTTGGTAATTTTGAAGAGCAAATGTATATTAGAAGAGGATCCCATCCTTTGACATCGACTTCTAGCAATTCCAATGTCTGTATACAGCTGTTGACAGTTCGTTGTAATTTTTGTATTGAATGACTTGAATCGCCAGAAACTGCAGGTAGATTAAAAAGTGTTTTTATCTCCTCATTTACTTGCATCCGTTTATTTTCATATCTATCAGTAAGATTTTTCCATGCAAGTTCAAATCCATCATTAGTCAATGGCACGTGAATAATAATTTCCTTTGCTTCCCCAGTGGTTTTTTGTTTCAAGTGAAATAGTTTTTCTACGTTGCTTAGCTTTGATCCTTTTATATAAATTGCCGTAAATAAGTCTCTAAACGTGGGCCATTCTCGATATCCTCCTTTAAAGGTGTCCGTATCGCATGGTGGTAAGCGAGATACGGGAGCAAAATCCAAATCCTTTTTCTGCTGTGTCTCCAATGACTCTCGTTTTGTTTGTTCCAACATCTGTTTTTCTCGAACATTCTGTAATTGAATGTTGACGGCACTTAAAGCCTTTTTATATGCGTCCATCGCCTCCATATAATTTTTCCTTAACTTGTTTTTATCAATAACCTTTTCTCCTTCTTTTGCTTCATGCTCTCTGCAATCGATATAAGCTCTCCTTACTTGACTCCAATTTGAATTCAATTCCAAACGTGTAGTTTCCAAAGTGTCCACAGTATCCTCTGGGTTGGTAATTGAAAAAATCGAAATAAAATCCAACAAGTCGTTGACGCTGTTAGCGAATTTGTCGCATAGTGATTTGTCCATCTTCTTAGTTGTGCGAGAAACCTTTCAAAAATTTGGTTTATTGTCCAAAATCCAAAAGAAGCCCAACGAGAAGGACTTACTCTGTTTAGAAATTCAACTTTTCTTCAACTTTTTGTGTTTCAAAAGCGAGAAAGTATCTTCCTTTATTTTGCAACGAATTACCTATTGGGTCAATATTTCCAAAAACTACCGAGAAAATTTGAAAAATAATAATTTTGGTGAACGCTTCGACTGTTATACAGTTTTTCAATCCAAAATCTGGAGAAATTAATTTTCCAAAATTCGTCCTTAAACGTATTTGAATATAGTTGGATGAGCGAAAGGTCAACTGAGAGAAGCTTTATCCGATTATAAAAGAGAAAAAATATTCCGCTTCAAGAAAAACGAATGAAGAAAAAAAAATATATATACAAAAAAATTCAGTGAAATTGTATAAAAAAAATGAGTCAGAAAATTGTAGAGTGATTATTGGACAGCTCCGTCTATCCACCAAGTGAGATGTATGCCAAAGTAGGAAATGTTTGCTGGGTTGTCGTAAAATTCCGAAAAATCCAAATTCCAAAATTGCATATAATCTCTTACGATATCCTTTGTTAGGAAGCCTTTATGGCTTTTCCAATTTAAACTTTTCTCCAAAAGTAAGTTTCTTTAAAGTAGGGTCTGAATATTTCTCTGAAGTGACAAATATTCTAAGAGCGCTACGATGTTATTCAGCAACGAAATAAAAAATTTCGATGCACAAAAATATTTTTGGGTCAAAACCCCCAGATATTGTTTCCAAAAAGTTCCTCAAAAAGTAAAAAATTCCGAAAATATTCCAAAAAATTAATAATTTCTGGGTCAAAAAGCAGCCTTTTTCATCAAAAGAATTAAAAAGTTGCACAATTCCCAAAATTATTGCAAAAGATTTAGAATATTTTAGATCAAAGCAAGATAAAACAAAAAAGCTGAAAATTTTTAAAAATTAATTAAATTAATTAGAAAATATATGAAGATAATATTGTTGTTTAAATTCCGTCTGTCCACCAGACACTGATAAAAAATGTTTCAAAAATGTTAATTTTGTCTGTCCATCAGACTTCAACAATTGCGTAGAAAACTTTAATAAATCACAGAGGTTAGGATTTATTGCATAAGTCTATGTCACCAGACTTTGTTATTTAATTCGCTATGTATTTGCTTTTAAATATGGCGCTATGTAGTTGACGGCGTTATGTTTTTCCAATATGTATATGTGTAATTTGAGATATAAAGTTTATGTATTCGTAGTGACGCCAACTTTCCAAAAAATTTCCATATAGAAGACTGTATGTACAAATATGGCGAAGTTAAATGCCTGAACTCCACGTTCAGCTAATTTCCAAGAATAAAATGGCGTTTATATATTTGTAATGACGCCAAATTTCCAAAAAATTTCCACTTTTTTATATAGAAGCCGCAAACTATGTTTGTGTGAGTCTTTTATATTAATGTCCGTCCGACCAAAAGATCACAAATCTAATTTTTTTTGCCAATTTTTAGGTTAATATTCCCGAAAATTGCGCAAAAAATGTCAATGGGGCAAGCAGCAGATTCCAAAAAAGTGTCAAAGAAATTTGCTTATATGGCTCAGAACAAATATTAATGATCTGCCAGAGCCAAATATGCTTTTTTTGTCTTTAAAAATACGAAAACTTTCCACAAGTACTCACTTTGACGAATTTCTGGGTCTCTTCTTGGCCTTTTTTCGGGTCTCCCTCCTGGAATATGCTGGGTCTCCTTTCTGTTTTTTGTAAAAATGTTCTTTTTAATTGTTTGTCGGTATTTTGTAGTTTGTAGTTTTGTACCACTTTGCACTGTTCTCTGTTTGTACGTATTTGTAATTTTTTGTGAAAAATGATAATTTTTATTTTTTTTGTAATTTTAAATATATTTTGTATTTTTCCAATTGTGTTCCACTATGCAAGGTCCTTTTTTGCACCACTGTGAAACGACAATTCGGTTTGTAGGGTCACATTTAGCAATCACACTAATTTTTCCAGTTTTTTTTGGTTTTGTAATTTTTTCCACTTGGCACCACTGTTCTTCTTTTTTATATTTTTTGCCACGATTAAATTTTTTCCACAGTTAAATTTTTACCACTGTTCAATTTTATCCACTGTTCAATTTTTTTTCCACTGTTCAATTTTTTCCACTGTTAAATTTTTACCACTGTTCAATTTTTTTCCACTGTTCAATTTTTTCCACTGTTAAAATTTTTTTTTTTTGTTTTATTTTTTTTGAAATTTGTTATGCAAACATTTTTTTGTTACACTGTTAATGAACCCTTTGGTTCATTATTCTCTTTTGTTCCGCTTTGTATTTATTTGTTCAATTTTTTTCACTAAGCGGTTCCTTTTATTTCTTTTTTTTTCTTTGTACTTCTGTTACATATGTAACATATGTACTCACGGTTCTTTGTTGCTTGTTTCAAATCTTTTTAACTTCTTTTTTTTTATATGTTCGATGAACTTTTTGTTTGTCACGCACTAATGTGTATATATGTAAACCGCATTTTTTTTTTTTTTTTTTCGTTTTTAGTTATTTAAAAAACTGCACTTTAATCCGGCTCGAAGGACCAAATGTTTTTTACTTTACCTGGGATGCCTTTTTTTATTAACAAGAGGGTTTTTTTATTGTTTAAAATTCAATTAAAAAATAAATTCTTTATTCACTTGATTTGTTTTAAGTTTTCGTGGTTTCCAGTGGTTTTTTGTGGCAAATTCAAATTTTGTGATCGTGTTGTTGAAATACAATAATTAGTGTGATTTTTGTTGTATTTTTTGTGTAACAATTCATGTAAATTTTATGTATGATTTTTTGTGTAACAATTCATGTATTTTTGTAAATTTTGTAAATTTTGTATTGACTTGTGATCGTGTTGTATATTTGTTGATTAAGTAATTTTATGATGTTTGTTGTGTGTAGTATGAAAATGTTCTGAAATTATGTTTGTTAATTTAAATGTTCACTTTATTTTCTTTAATTTTCACTTGTCACTGGGGAGCACTTTTAACTTTCGCGGGCGCGATTTCAAAACGAACTGTGTCGATGCCTAATTTGCATCAGCTCAGCAACCAAATTTGCAAATCAATTTGTTGCTTATTTACTTCCAGTCAGTTGGAAGTTACCGGTGACTGCGTATTTGTATTGGTGCAACATATATTACATATATTTACAATTTTGCCGCAGTGGCCGTTAACTCCAACTGACAGTGGAGATCAAAAGTTTACGCATTCGTAAACAACTAGTGTCAAACTCGATGTGACGTTTTGTGATTTAATTCCATTTCTTGATATACAGGGCAATGTGAATATATGACATATTCGTATTATTCTATCATGCATTTTTTCGAAGAATTCTGAGACTAATATACTGATCAGATATTAAAAAACCTACGCTTAAACTAGCTTTAAAAATATTTTTAAAAATACACGCTCCCAATATTGGCATTTCTACCGTTAATATCGATAACAAAGTAGCGATATTGTCATCGATTGATTACCCGCTCTAATAGATTTTCGATAGCACATTGTTTTTTTGTTGACAATAGAACTTCACGTGGTAGTGGCACAAATTTATTTTTATTTACAATTTCAACAGATAGACTGTTTGATTTACTTATTATTTTTTGAATTATAATGAAGGAAAAAGTAGAAATTGAAAAGGTATATGGCCGTAAGAAAAATGGCGTTGTACCCACACTTAGTAAGTTATATGAATAAATTGTAAGTCTTTTATCCTCTAAATTATGTTTTTTTAGTGAAATTTCAAAATGGAAAACTGTCTGCATTCACGAAGGAAAATACAAATTTTACACGCTTAAGGTGTAATGAAGACCATGCCAAATTCGGTGCGTTATTGGCGGCCAATGGTAATCTCTATCATGGGGTCATCAACAATAGCGAAGCTAATGAGCTGACGGATATGTATATTTGCGTTCGCAACAAGACAACAAATAAGGTATGATGCATTTTAGATTTAAGCTCTTCAGATAGGTTGCCGCAGAAATGTCTTTTGTTGGCAGGCTGGAAGATGATACTTCCTGATTTCCTGCACTTTTAATAATTTTTGAAATGAACTAGCTGCTGTAATACATTTTCACTTCTTAGCCTCTTAAACTCACTATCTACAGAAAGTTTTCATATATATTTGGGAAATCTTTGACTTGAAAAGCTTTCCAATCGAAACAAAATATAAAAAGTAACAAATGCAATCGGATCTTGTATACCAATAATAACAATATCTTAAAGTACGTATTGATTTGAATCGTTTATCTATATTCAGATGACAATCATACCTATTGATCAGGTGAATTTTAAAAACACAATCTATGGTGAATTGGATCAAATCAAGAAGAGCAACTTGTCCGATCAAGTAACAAAAATGACACTTTTGAAAAAATTCGGTGGTCGAAAGGCTTCACGTTACGTTAATGATCAGGAACAAATGAGAATGGACATTGTTGTTGTTGAGGACAGTCTAAATCAAACAGTAAATGAATCAATGTTGGACAACGAAGAGGAAGTAGTGGACAATACAAAATATTTTGATAGCATTAGACCACCATGTAACAAAAATGCCGATAAAATTAGCGACATTTATCAATTGTCTGATGTTGTACCTACCGAACTTATGGATCGTTTAGATGAAGAAGCTAAAACGGTGTATCAAACAAATATAGATCAAATACCGTAAGTATATTTACATATATTTCAAATGTTACGAGTAATAAATCAATTTTCATTGTTCTATTTTTTTCAGAATAAGTTCGGAATATTTAAAAAAACTTATTGTAGATATACAACAAGGTACACTGAGTGCGGAAAACTTAGAACGCATAAAAATCATTTTATATATGGACTGTTTGCTCAACTTAATCAAATCGCGTGTTAGGTCACTTAAAAAAGCTGAGCTTTCGAAAATTTCTGAAAAGATTGAAAACAATGTACGTGATCGTTTTGCTGATCCCAATTCCAGTGTTAGGTAAGAGTTTATTTACCCCAATCATAATAAGTAACATAACGTCCGTTTTTGTTTTGTTTTAGTGGTTCCCGTACCGTTTTCTCCACGGAAAAGGCGTTGTGTTATTTCATTGTTATGGCCCTATTGGTTAGTGGAAATTATCAAACTGATGCCGCTGTTTTGTCGCAAGACCTGAATGCTCCACGTGCAAAAATAATGAAATACGCTCACATCGTATATGCATTGCCCAAGTCAAGATCATCAACATTAACATTAAAAGCGCCAAAAAATGTTCCTCCTCTGCCCACTAAGTTTTCACGAAGAAAGAAGGAATAAGAACAGCGATTAGTAAGTTAGTTAAATTTTCTGATTTTACTGAAAAAAAATAAAATCGTTAAAACAAACACAAATGGGTATTTTTAATTTTTATTTAAAAAAGAATCTTTGAAAAAAATTAAAAGATTGAGCTGAATTAAAAGCCACATGAGTTGGGGTTTTGAGAACCTCGTTGGTTTAAGCTCTTTGCTGCTTAACATGCACAATTAACTCTTTCCGACTTACTTGAATCTCAAAATCTGTACCAGGCTAGTCGACACCACAGAAGAACAAAACATCGCTCAATTGAAGACCAGGTTAAATTCAAAGTCTTGCGAGCACGTCATTTAAAGACATTGAAAGCTTTGGGTTCATCTAAAACAACAAAATAGTCATGTATTTGCTGAGGGGCAGAATCAGGTCTCAAGTGCACTGCACATTAAAAGCCTCCAAGAAGAACTAGGGATGTACATTATCTTTCTGCGTATTGTGGGCCCCCGAAATTGTATGCTGCTAACTAAGGCCATTCAGGATAGGCTTCAAGTAATTTGACAAAACGAAGACCTTCAGCAAATTGCGCATATTAACATTTCAAAATTTTTGTTAGCCAAAACCTGTCTGTGAAAGTCTAAGTTAAATTGATATGTTTCCATTAGATTTAACTTCCGCTCTCCCTTCTGTAAATTTGAGACTACGGAATATAGTTTCGATCTTTTCGAAGCAGATTATATAATATCTAAATAAATCAAGCCATCCCTCCTGTTTGAAAGTCAGAAATTTAATACATAATCCAATTCTTCAGTGGGTGTGCTTTTAGTAGATGTAGGTATAACTTATAATTTAAAAACTGGTTTTCTACCCTTCGGTTAAAAAGCTTTGCTTATAATTTATGTTGGAACAATCGCAAAAGTCGGTTTAGTTCGCAAAAGTAATGAATTGTATTATATGTTGCTATAGCAAAACAAAATGGTTTGTTGTCATACCAGTTACTGAGTAATAACAAATAAATACATCACCCACGATAAAAATATCATCAAAACTTCCGTGACAAACGTACTGTGCATAGAATAAAAAGAGTGGGGGAAATACGACGTAAACAAATCCCACATTCTTCATACGTTGCAATTTAATTATATTTTCCTCGCAAACATTTTAACGTAAAACTATGGTAATTGCGTTGCTTGTTTTTTTTTTTAGATAATTTATTAAATTATGTAGTATTCGTTTATAATAATTTTAATAAGATTAGTTAGGAATTAGGATACTAGTAATAATATAAACATAAAAATGAAACAAAATAGCAAATTATTAATTTGAATCAAGTAAAAGAATAAACATGAAATTTGAAAAATTCTTACAAATTTATGTTCTGGAAAAATATTGTAATTTTCCTTGTGATTCAAAATTTGTTTAGCAATGATTTTGTTAAAAGTCTATTATAATTATAGATTTTTATTTTTTACATTACAAAAATACATTTTATATTCTCATATATTCGCATTTATGTTTTCTTTTTCTGTTTATTTATTTATAAACTACTATAATTAGAGATAATTTGAATTTCCAATATTTATTTATTCTTTTGCATAAGTGTAAAACAAAGCCACTACTTTGTAAGTTGTTGTTGTCTTGTGATGTTTTTATTGCTGTAACAGCATTGAATGATAGTAGCTTGGGTGTTTATTGATATTTTTGAGTGATTTTTGTTTGCTCTGCTAATTTAAGCTAAAAAAAATGATAAGTTTAAATTTGCCAAACAATTTTGGTTTAGGTTTTTTAATATATTTCAAAGTTGACTGTTTACAATCACTTTCAACAATTTTGTTTGGAAAATTAACGGTTTGTTCTTTTTTGGAAAATAAAATTGGATTTCTACAAAGAGTCTCTCCATCCCTCCCCTTAAAATAAAAAAGAAACATAAAACAGTTAAAAAAATCAATATTTTGTTCTTGCAGCTGCCAGATATTTAATACCATTTTCAATGTTGCATAGTTGTTATTATTGATTCATTGATTTTCCGCTACTTAAACAGAATCGACTTGAAAGTGTTTCGTAAAAAAACTTAAAAATAAAGGATAATTAACATACTATCAAATTTTGCTTATACAGCCAAACCAAAGACCGACACAATACAGTACATTGTCTTGTTCTCCCAGCGCACTGTGCAGCTGCCATCGGTGTCATTGTTCCAATAACATGAACTAGCTGTATGTAGGCCGGCACCATTTTTTTGCATTATCATGGAGGTGACTATGTATTTGTAGGGCTTTTGCTCCTTGGTCAGCATACTGAGACAATTCTCCACCACCTGGCCGGTCCAATTGTTTACCTTGTCGTGCTGGTAGGCGTTGCCACCAATGGTACTCTCGATAGCTTCCTTGATGATTTTGCTTACATCATCTACAATGAATTGGTTCTCTTCGCGTGATTCATCCATGTCGCAAATTGTTTTTAAGATTTCGTTTTGCACTAATACGATTTGTTTAATTTGCTCAACGCAAATCTAATGCACAATTTGTTTGTTTACGATATTTGTTGTTTTGCCTTGTTTTGCAAAAACCTTCACCCGTATTTTGTACGCAATCGAGAATTTTCCGGAACGCTATACTTTTTGTTTGTTGGAATGCAATTCTTCGTCGATCAAACTCAAAAACTCAAGCTTGTGGCGTTTTTTCTCCTATGCCAGCTGTCAATGCCAATTTAATGTTGATTGTCAAATTTGTGTCAAGCCTGTACGTCGTACAACAAAATAATTGTGGCGGTGCGCTATACGACAATGCATGAGACGTCATCCAATGATTAATTGAATACAATGAAAGCGTTTAAGCGATATTTCATGGCAGAAGAATACAGGTAGATGCATCAACGCTTGGGAACATTGGTACGTCAAAAATTTTAAAATGTTTTGTTAAAAATAAATTGTTTTTATTTTTTGTTATACGACGCCAATCGGAGGTTCTTATGATATGCATTTTTCAACAATTTTAGTAATTTTAATATTTTTTCATTCAAAATGTTCAATTGTTCAAAATAGGTATGTCTGGTTTCTTTCCCTGCAGGAATTGTCCAGCAATATCTTTCTGAGAGAGTAAGGTAGTTTTATTCTCTTTTGCAAGGAAATTGCGAAAAGTAAACAGACGGTATTCCTGCAGAAGCTTGCAACTAATCAGCTGATTTGTCAAAACAAACCAATATGTCCCCAATTAAAAGAATTAAACGAAAGGAACCACCACCAATTTCACAAGTTTTATAAATAAATAGGAAATTGACAATAAAATAAAAATATGAGCAAGAAAAGGAAGATAGATATGATGTGTTCCGCGGAATCTTTTAAACCTGTTGCTAATGGCATTTGTCTAAAAATTGTTGCGTTCATCCTCATTGTAAAATTTTTATAATGTGCAATTTAATGCACCGAACGTGCTGAACGCCAGCCAAAAAAGAGAACCGGATACGCAGGGCGGCCGGCTAAATTTTAAAAAGTGATGCCAAGTTTCATGTTGTTTATTGTAAAACATGAGAGATGTGTGGCAAAAATACAACACTGGGGATAATAGTGGGTAGGTAGAACACCTGATAAAGGTAAATAATAAATGTCAGGGAAATTGTGGGAAAATCTTGGAAAAGAGGGAAAGTTTGGTTGAGCGTCCTTGGTGGCCGTATATAAAGCACGGAGAGGGCGAAAAGCGCCATTATTTCAAAGTGGTGTGGAACAGAAACAGTTCAGTCAATTTTTAAATGTTTTTTTGTGAATAGAAAAAGGAAATACTAAATTGGCAGTTACAATTTGTGTGTTTTATTGTTTTATTTGTGTGGCGTATCTAAACAATTTGTAAGTGTTGATTTGTAAGTGATGTTATGTCGGATGTGTTGTGTTAAGTTTTTGTGTTCTATTTAGGAATAACGCCGCGCATAAATCCACAATTGGACAGCGCCATCCGACTTGGACGAAAAAGAAGCGGGCATCCCCAACAATTATTTTTGTATCGCCAGGTGCGGCACAGGGGTTCCAGGCAACGAAAAGGTTCTGGAAACGGCCAAAAGACCTGGGAAACTGCCAGTGGATAACCCTTGGAACAGGCAATAGTACCAATCCGGGAAGCTAACCAGTAGATCCCACCTAAAAATCTGTAAAAAGAAGATAAAAAGTTGCCTAAGTATGCCGTTGTGAAGGTAATGTAATTCAAAATTTAAGTTACTTACCAAAGAAAAGAAAGAAAGCCAAATCCCGCTGAAAAAAGTCATATGAAGTTCCTTTTCCTTTGACGGAAACACCACTGAAAAAAAGAATAAAAATATGAAATTCATCAATTAATCCGAATTTGACCAAAAGAAAAAAAGAAGCTATAAAAAATATTTGTTTGTTAGTGTGTAGTTTAGTATATAAGTTAAACGTATTGTTTGTAGTTAGATAAATAGTGCTTAAGATACAAATGTGAGGAAAATTAATGCCCATTAAATCTTATTGTTAGTGAGTGTAGGGTTGCCTCAAAATTTTACAGCTAGAAAATTTCGATTTTTCTGTTTGGGACAAAGATTTGAAATGCCCAAAAGATTTGTCTAAGTGAGCTCCTTTAGGCAGAAATTTAAAGTACTTGTATTGGCCAAAATTGGCGCTTCTAGCAGGGTAATAAAAAAAGGTAATCTGAGTATTGACTCACAATTTTTGTTTTTCGTTCGGGTATTAATAATCCAGTTTTTTTTTATGTGTTCGTGTTGAAATTAGTTTTAAGAGAACGATAATGATTCTAATAAATAAGCTTAATGTCTAATTGCCTAAAGAAATAATATGTTGTGCTAAATTTTATTTGTGAGAGAGGAGGTTAGGCGTTGTAAGCGAGTGTGTGTGGCTTTTTGGGGCCCTTTTTAATTTTTTTTTGAGTTTATTTGGACTAAAGGGTCAAGGATGGGTGGGCATAGTGGGGGAGCAATAATATCAAGCTCCTGTGTCATAGGTGTATGTTGTGTATGTTTGTTTTCAGTTTTTCTGTGTTTGTGTTTATTCCAGTACAATTCTTTAAGTGTTCATTCCCTAGGGTTGATGGTGGCAGGGTTGAGAACCCCCTGGATTAACCGCTCCCTCCTGAGCTAGTGCGGAACCCCACCATAACGCCGAGTAGGCTGAATGTAACAATATGGCGCCCAAATTTCCAAAAGAAAACATTAATGTCTTCCAGACATTAGCCAATAATATGTGCAATAAAATCTACGCACTGTGCAATATACCATAGGAGACAATAGATTTAAGCAAAATATCGCATTTTTTACATGCTTGCGAATATTGCAACCACTTTCTAAGTAATTAAAAAGTGTCAATTGTGCAATATTTAGCATAGAAAGTAAAAAATCAGGATATTCTGTTCCACTAATTAGGGTCTAGTGCAATAGCTTTTGTTCGTGAAGTGTAACAAAATTTGTATTGTTTTATGACCTGTGTTTTGACGTGTATGTGTTTAAATTCTTTAGAGTAGCGACAATATTTTAAGGTTAGCATAGGATAATTACAGTATCTGCGAACCGATGGGCCACAGACTGTATTGCACTAATTTTATCCTTTCGTGAGATCTCTTTTCTTTAAATATTGGAGAAAACTGCCACGGTGCTAATTTCTGAATGGAAAGTTCAATGTTTGTAATTGTAAAGTCCAACCTAGTCAATACCCTATGACAACCGTAATAGGCCACTATAAAATAAAATCATGTTTTTTTTGTTTGAAAAGCATAGACCACACACACATCTTATTACAGCTGAAAATACTCCTAAACTCCTCTCATATTTGTCATTGTCTTTGAAAAATTAAATTTTGTTTGTTTGTTAACCTATTGATTTATATATGTTTTGTTTTTATGTATACCTATTGATTTTTATTTGTTTTGTTGTTATTTAACCTATTGATTTATAAATGTTTTGTTTTATTAATATTTACTATTTTTATAACTGTGTGTAATACATTAATCCCTTTTATTGTCTTTTAAAATTAATTAGTTTGTAGTTCATTCCATATAATCTTTACAGCCAACCACATAAGTATTTCCATCTTTTCATATATAGTAATATCAATGAACGCAGCTACGGTAGGGAAAAATCGCAGGAAAAGAAATAGATCTTTAGTGTTTGACCTTAGCAGAACTTCAATTGCATCACCAAAACCGAAAACTAAGAAAAAATGCAAAACGCTAATGTCAACCCAACTGTTCGGGATTTATCAGGTTCAATTAATAACCCTAATCCTAGCACTAGTGCTGCAGCTAAAATGCCTTCTAACATGCCTCAACCCTCTGTGCCAATGCAACCAAAAGAAGTTGACCAACTTGTCAGAAGTTTGGTGCAAGATAGTTTGAACCATGCCCAGGCAAATCTGCAGGCTCTGGTTGAAAAGAGCGTGAGCAAGGAGATGGAAAAGGTTTACACTGTAGTAGATAAATTAAATGATGCAATCGCAAAATTGTCGATCAGCAATCAAAGTGCACCACCAATTCAGATGCCTCAACCAATTCCTACATTAAATCCTAAACCCCCTTCTTCACCCCCAAATAGCGTAAATAACCCACCTATAAACCGTACCCATACTATTACTCCATCCTTCATGAGTTTTCAAAATTTTCAAGGTATAAGAATTGAGAGATTTGGGATAAATTTCTCTGGCAGACCCAATACTTTGTCAGTAGAAGACTTTATATACCGGCTAGAACATTTTCAAAAGCTTTACAACCTTCCATGGAAAGATATTTTGAATGAGTTCCATGTTTTAGTTTCAGGCCCTGCTAATGAATGGTTCTGGCTAGAACAAATGAATAACAATATTTCTACTTGGCAGTCATTAAAACATGCCTTGTGTGAAAGGTTCAAAACCAGAAGAACATGCTTCGAAGAAATGCGTGATTTGTTAGAGCGAAAGCAAATGCCAGGAGAATCGATAAACTCGTTCTTCCACGATTTAAACGCAATGAGATCTAAGCTAGAAAGACCAGTTTCGGAATACGAAATGATCTCCCTGGCTAAGAAAAATGTGCGAAAGAATATTTCAGGTATTGTTTATTCGATGCAAGTATCCTCGCTTGAGCAATTGAGAATTGAGTGTATTGAGATTGAAAAGACATTCTTTCGACGCGATCCTGCCCCAGTTACTACTCCTACTTACAATAAACCAGCTCGTGCAAATGCGATGCATGAAGAGAATGACGAAGAAATTTTTCAGGTATTCGATGAACCAGATGAAGTAGTAGATGTTTCAGCAGTCAATGTTCAATTAGTCTGTTGGAATTGCCAAACTCCCGGCCACGGATTCAGGGATTGTCTTTCCACTCAAAGAAATCTATTTTGTTTTAAATGTGGAAAGCAGAATACCATTACGCCGAAATGTGCAAATTGTCGATTGGGAAACTCGAGGAAGAACCTGGTTACAGCGGGAAACCACCGTTCTGCCGAGCAGCCCGCCGATCAGAATCCACAATCGATTTAGAAAAAAGTAAAACCGATAAACAAATTTACCCTAAAATTCGACATTATTTACCATTGGAGGTCAGGGAACAAAATTATGAGGAAATAAGGTCAAGAATATTCGGAGAAGATCAAAATGAAATGAATAGCAAGCAATTCAAGAAAAAACAAAGAATTTCCAAACTAAGGCAAAAGCAAAAACAATTTAAATTGCTAAAGAAATCTGTGTCTGAATCAATAGTCCGATGCCAATATAAAACAGATTTAAGACCATATGTTACGATAAAAATTGAAGGAAAGGAAGTTAGAGGTTTATTAGACTCTGGCGCTACAGTCAGTCTACTGGGAAGAAATTGTAGAGAAATAGTGGAAGAGATAGGAACCAATGTAAAACTCTATAGTTCAAATGTCACCACTGCTTCTGGTCAACGACACCGCATTTTAGGTACAATTGAAGTCGATGTTGAATATCAAAGTCAGTTAGCTAAAATGACATTGTTTCTATGTCCTGACTTAGAACAGGAATTATATTTAGGGATAGATTTTTGGAAGATATTTGAAATTGCACCCGAAATATTTCCCACAGAAGAAATAAATATGGAACTTCAGCAAAAAATTCATGGGAATTCAGCTAATGATAATGAAAATATGCATGTTCTAACAGAGGAACAACAGCAACAGCTAAATGAAATTGTAAACAAATTTCCGACATTTGAAAAGAATGGATTGGGATGTACCAAGTTGGAGAAACATGCCATTAAATTGATAGAAGGAGCAAATCCTGTCAAGGACAAACATTACCCTCTGTCGCCCGCCGTACAGGAAATAGTCTATAGAGAACTTGATAACATGATCAAACTAAACGTGATTGAAGAAAGCGATTCACCGTGGAGCAACAGGACTACCGTAGTGCGAAAACCAGGAAAAAACAGATTCTGTTTAGATGCGAGAAAACTCAATGCATTAACCATCAAAGATGCATATCCATTGCAGAACATTGATGGGATATTGAGTCGAATAGATCAAACGCATTATATTAGCAGTGTCGACCTGAAGTACGCGTTTTGGCAAATAGAACTTGAAGAAGAAGCCAAACCGTACACAGCCTTCACAGTACCAGGTCGACCGCTATACCAATTCAGAGTAATGCCGTTTGGTCTATGCAATGCGGCGCAACGACTCTGTCGTTTGATGGATCGAGTAATACCTGGTAAACTGAAGTCCAACGTGTTCATATATTTAGATGATTTACTGATTATATCTGATGAATTTGAAACGCACTTGAAATTGTTGAGCGAGGTAGCAGATTGTTTGAAGAGGGCCAACTTAACAATTGGTTTCAAAAAGTCCTCGTTTTGTTTCCGTGAATTGAAGTATCTTGGGTTCATAATCGGAAACGGCTGTTTAAAAACCGACCCGGAAAAAGTCAGCGCAATTCTAAAAATACCGATACCAAAGACTCCAAGAGAAGTAAGAAGCTTTTTAGGAACGGCCGGATGGTACCGTCGTTTCATACAAGATTTCGCTTCCATATCCGCTGCCCTAACTGATACATTAAAAAAGGGGCAGAAATTTACGATGACACCTCAAGCATGTGAATCATTCCGAACACTGAAGAAAGCTCTCACCTCGGCACCAGTGCTTCGACATCCCGATTTTCAGCGAGAATTTTTCATACAGTGTGACGCATCTGAGTACGGAATTGGAGCCGTTCTTTTCCAAAGAAATGATAATGGTTGGGAATATCCAATTGCTTTCTACTCGCAAAAACTAAATTCAAGTCAGAGGAATTATTCGGTAACTGAGAAGGAATGTTTGGCGGCGGTTCTTGCCGTAAAGAGATTTCGACCATACGTGGAATGCATGAAATTCACCATGATCACAGATCACGCAAGTCTCAAGTGGCTTATGTCACTGAAAGATTTAAGTGGGAGACTTGCTAGATGGTCTCTGCAGCTTCAAGCTTTTGATTTTTCTATTGAATACCGAAAAGGATCTGAGAATGTTGTGGCTGATACCTTATCCCGTCTACCAATGGAATCGGAGATAGCAGTAGAAGAAATCACTAACGATGATATTTTGGATTTCGAAACCACCGCGTTTGACAGCGAGGAGTACCTGAAGTTGCGAAAAACAATAATAGAGAATCAAGAAAGACTACCCGATTGAAAAGTCGACAACGACAAAATTTACATAAGAGTGAATAATTTTGATGAATCGACGATGGAATTTGAGTGGAAATTGTGGATACCGGAAGAAATTACCTATACGATGATTGAGAAGGCCCACAATTATAATCAGTCTGTCCACGATGGCATAAATAAAACTATGAAACGTTTAAAAACGTATTATTATTGGCCAAAAATGGCATGCCAAGTAAAAAATTACGTGTCCAATTGCCAAGTCTGCAAAGAAACCAAATCGTCAAATTCTATTATGCGACCTACCATAGGAAACGAGGTTATCACGGAAAGGCCATTCCAAAAACTTTATGTAGATTTCCTCGGAAAGTATCCCAGATCTAAAAATGGAAACGCCTACATTTTTATTGTCATGGACCATTTCACTAAATTCATCTTTTTACATGCGATGAGAGAAGCTACCGCTAAAAATGTTGTGAAATTTCTGGAGGACAAAGTATTTCGTGTATTTGGGGTCCCAGAAACAATCCATAGTGACAATGGAAAACAATTTGTCTCAAATATGTTTCAAGAAATGGTTAAGAACTACAAAATAAACCATTTAACGACAGCGTACTACTCTCCACAATCAAATGCGGCAGAGAGAGTGAACCAGTCTGTACTGGCGGCGATAAGGACTTATGTCGAGAAAGATCACCGAGATTGGGACTTATATCTATCTGAAATCGAGCAAGCTCTCCGAACGTCGGTACACTCCGCCACAGGGGTTAACCCATTCTTTGCATTGTTCGGATACAATATGTTTACCAACGGAAATGATTATAGATTAGCCAAGAAACTCAAATCATTCACTGACCACCAAATTATACAATTTAATAGAAAGGATAGATTAGAATTGATGAGAGAAAACATCAAGAAAAACTTGCATCAAGCTTATGAGGCCAGTGCCAAAAGGTACAATAGTAGATCACGAAATGTAACTTTTCGTCCAGGCCAGGAAGTCTTTCGTAGGAATCACGTTCTCTCAGATTTCAAGAATAATATAAATGCGAAATTTTGCAAGAAGTTTTTGAAGTGCAGAATCGTGAGACCTATTGGAAACAATATGTATGAGCTGGAGACTCTGCAAGGGAAACCCCTTGGAAACTTCCATGTCAAGGATATAAAAGCTTAAAATGATGTGAGATATAATTACTGTGATATAATTACTTAAGTGCAATATAATTTATAAAATGTATGTCGTGTATGTCTATTTTATAAATTATAATGTGTCGTTGTTTTTATACATAGAATTTGTTTTATAAATTTAAGGTTTGTATTATCAAATAGGATGTGGACAAAGTGTCTTGAGGGTCTTGTGCAATAGATATGCGATTAGAAAGGAAATACGCAATAATAAAAATCTGTGATATAGAATTTACTAGTGCAATATAGGATAATTAAATTAGTTCGTTGTTGTCCTAAATTATTTATTTGTATTGCTCAGAATTTTTTTTTCTCAGTCGTTATTGTCAACTTTTTTTTTTAAATTGTATGTCTAAAGCAAAGATAACAGCTAAAGAGCCCGGCTGAATGAGACTTCAGGGTGTGGGAGTTCCCCACGTTGTGGAAAACATAAGTAGAAAGACCAATATTCCATTTAATTCCTTTCAAAATACAATAGCCACCATCTCTGATTGTCTCAAACAACCAAAGTCCGTTTATATTCATGAAAAGTTCCGTAGATTTTTTTCTAACACCCATTTCCGGCATTAAAGTATTCAATTGTTACCTGGCAACCTATATTTCTCACATTACAATCGTGGAAATTTAGTTGATTTTCGTTAAATTATTTTAAAAGCATAACAGATTTTTCAACTAAGATTAAAAGAGTAATATAATGTGGCAATGTGAATAAGGGAAGAATAAAATCATATCCCCTTTGCATTGCTGTTGATTTTCATTTGTTTTGATTAAATATCTTTTTCCAATATTATCCTTTTTTTTCGGGGAATGCAAAAATATAGTCGATATCATTTGGTTTTTGTTACATATGGCCTTATGATAGTTTGTATTACTTCTCAATTAAAAACCATAGAAGATTTTTTTTCTATTCATTTATAGGTATTCTGTTTTACCTGTATTTTCAGAAAATTTCCCGAAAGTTGTGTCAATTTTTGTTTTTTTTTTTAATATGTACTCATCTTTTCAGTGTTTGTCTATCAATGAATATCTAATGTTATAACATTTTTATCAGCTTACCACTTGCTCTTTGGCAATTTAGCAAAACAGAATTAGATACTTTTCAGCTCAGTTTTGAAGATTCACAAAAAGTTTTTTTTTGATCACACAATACTCTGCATTGTTCCATTTAGAATTCAACATTTTTATAGTAAAAAGGCATTTGAATTGTTACAAAAGCCTGAGGTAGTAATTTTAGTACTCCAAAAAGAAACACAATTTGTTCACTTTGGCATAATCTTTCTATCAGAACCTTAAATATCGAATTTTCGGCTTTAAGAAAGAATAATTGTAATAATTTTTTCGTCATTTCCATCAAAATGTCTTTAATTTTTTTATCTTCATCCAATACCATAATACTTTTCGTACACTTTTCTAAAAACACTTCTTTTTCATAATCCAACCACCAACAGATACCCCCAATACATAATTTCCAAATCCCAGATTCAGTCGTTCATACTAAACCAACATTTTTAAATTCTACACAGTTTGTACACGTATAACACATTTCCATAAAACCATCTTCATACCATGGGAAAAGAATATAGGTACACGCTTAAGAACATTGATATGTCAAAATTTTTATAATGTTTGATAAGTGGATTTTTAAATGTTTTTTATACGACGCAATTTAGAGTTTGTTATAATATGCGTTCTTTCAAAAAAAAAAATTCTTACAAATTTTATAATTTTTCATTCAACATTTTCAATTCCAATATCGGGGTGACAGTTCATTGTCCCATTGTCGATGCGACTACCTGTATTTTTCTACCAGGCTTCATACATTGGAATAGTTCCCAACGGTAATCCCAACTGTAATCTTTAGTCGCTTCGTCTTGGCGTTGACTCATTTCACTATGTCAATACTCTTTAGTGGGCTTTGCTTGGTTCATTACCAAACGAACACTTTCGGTTTTTATAAAATAATCCACCACAAAAATTATTTTTTTTACTCACCTGAATTATGTTCTTGAAATACGCCAATCAGCAGTTTACTCCTTATGCAGCGATTTAAAGCCGTTTGGATATCCTATTTTTGTTGGTTGACAATCTGTCTATCCGCACATCAGTTCTTTGTTTAAATTTAATTTTATACTTTTTTCATAACACACAAATAAGTTTCAGGCAGATGCACTGCCAATTTTAAATATCACTTGCACTTTATTTTTATACACAACCATGGTCGTTTACCTGAAAAGAAAAAAAAGAAAAACATTAGTAAATATGGAAAAAGAAAATGACAACAAAACTATTGTTTTGCAGATGCATAAATACAAAAAATGACTACCTGCACAATATAGAGACCTGGTTATAAATTGTTTGATGAGTGCGTGCAACTTCGGCAAATTTCTAAAAACAAAAAAAATACAATGAGTTAGAATGTACAAATACCTTGTTTCTTTAAAAATTTACTACCTGTTTTTGGTTTGTCCGATTCCGATGAATGAGCTGCAACAATACACGGCAAAGTCGCGTAGGGATTTATAAATCGACAAACGGCATGAATGGGCGATGTAGGTGAATGAACGGCGTTGCGCACCCTTCATGTGCGTTTACACGACTGCAACTACTTCGTGCATGTGTGTGTGCATGGAATTTTTTTCAATGGATGCAGCGTGCCTGCACACACACACATACTTACACATGAGACTCCCAAGAATGAACATGGCTTTTTTTGATTTGTCTGTAATAAAAGAATATAAATTGATTATATTTCTGGGGGGAATTTATTATAAAAGGGAATTCTTACCTTTGTCCGAAGGAATAAAATGAAACACAAGAAATTTGGTTTGGTCGCGTAGTCATTCCACGCGAGATGGTGGTGGCGAAAAAAAAGGAGAAACTTACTTAAATCCACAATTTTATATTCCGTTTACGACTGGATGTAAGGACTCACGCACATCACCACTTTTCTTTTTAATTTTTTTCTAAAGTGGTGAAGTTTTGTTGCGTTCATCCTCATTGTAAAATTTTTATAATGTGCAATTTAATGCACCGAACGTGCTGAACGCCAGCCAAAAAAGAGAACCGGATACGCAGGGCGGCCGGCTAAATTTTAAAAAGTGATGCCAAGTTTCATGTTGTTTATTGTAAAACATGAGAGATGTGTGGCAAAAATACAACACTGGGGATAATAGTGGGTAGGTAGAACACCTGATAAAGGTAAATAATAAATGTCAGGGAAATTGTGGGAAAATCTTGGAAAAGAGGGAAAGTTTGGTTGAGCGTCCTTGGTGGCCGTATATAAAGCACGGAGAGGGCGAAAAGCGCCATTATTTCAAAGTGGTGTGGAACAGAAACAGTTCAGTCAATTTTTAAATGTTTTTTTGTGAATAGAAAAAGGAAATACTAAATTGGCAGTTACAATTTGTGTGTTTTATTGTTTTATTTGTGTGGCGTATCTAAACAATTTGTAAGTGTTGATTTGTAAGTGATGTTATGTCGGATGTGTTGTGTTAAGTTTTTGTGTTCTATTTAGGAATAACGCCGCGCATAAATCCACAATTGGACAGCGCCATCCGACTTGGACGAAAAAGAAGCGGGCATCCCCAACAATTATTTTTGTATCGCCAGGTGCGGCACAGGGGTTCCAGGCAACGAAAAGGTTCTGGAAACGGCCAAAAGACCTGGGAAACTGCCAGTGGATAACCCTTGGAACAGGCAATAGTACCAATCCGGGAAGCTAACCAGTAGATCCCACCTAAAAATCTGTAAAAAGAAGATAAAAAGTTGCCTAAGTATGCCGTTGTGAAGGTAATGTAATTCAAAATTTAAGTTACTTACCAAAGAAAAGAAAGAAAGCCAAATCCCGCTGAAAAAAGTCATATGAAGTTCCTTTTCCTTTGACGGAAACACCACTGAAAAAAAGAATAAAAATATGAAATTCATCAATTAATCCGAATTTGACCAAAAGAAAAAAAGAAGCTATAAAAAATATTTGTTTGTTAGTGTGTAGTTTAGTATATAAGTTAAACGTATTGTTTGTAGTTAGATAAATAGTGCTTAAGATACAAATGTGAGGAAAATTAATGCCCATTAAATCTTATTGTTAGTGAGTGTAGGGTTGCCTCAAAATTTTACAGCTAGAAAATTTCGATTTTTCTGTTTGGGACAAAGATTTGAAATGCCCAAAAGATTTGTCTAAGTGAGCTCCTTTAGGCAGAAATTTAAAGTACTTGTATTGGCCAAAATTGGCGCTTCTAGCAGGGTAATAAAAAAAGGTAATCTGAGTATTGACTCACAATTTTGTTTTTCGTTCGGGTATTAATAATCCAGTTTTTTTTATGTGTTCGTGTTGAAATTAGTTTTAAGAGAACGATAATGATTCTAATAAATAAGCTTAATGTCTAATTGCCTAAAGAAATAATATGTTGTGCTAAATTTTATTTGTGAGAGAGGAGGTTAGGCGTTGTAAGCGAGTGTGTGTGGCTTTTTGGGGCCCTTTTTAATTTTTTTTTGAGTTTATTTGGACTAAAGGGTCAAGGATGGATGGGCATAGTGGGGGAGCAATAATATCAAGCTCCTGTGTCATAGGTGTATGTTGTGTATGTTTGTTTTCAGTTTTTCTGTGTTTGTGTTTATTCCAGTACAATTCTTTAAGTGTTCATTCCCTAGGGTTGATGGTGGCAGGGTTGAGAACCCCCTGGATTAACCGCTCCCTCCTGAGCTAGTGCGGAACCCCACCATAACGCCGAGTAGGCTGAATGTAACAAAATGTTGGAAATAGTCTTTTATTTTTTTATTACATATTAATATTTACTTTTTTCACATTTTGTAAAGTTGTTCTCCAAAAACAATTAGTCTTGCTAATTCCAAAACAATATTTTCAAATTAAAATCACAAAAAGAAATAAATAAACAATAGAAAACATCTGATTGAATGTCGATGAATGAGAAGAAGAAGAGTTGCAAGAAGAAATTTTTCAAGCAAGAATTTGCAAACTCTCACTGAAAGAACTGTCAAAATTTCTCTCTCCAACCGCTCTCTTTTGCAGAACTTTCGGGTTAACAGACAACTTCCAGCAACAATTTGTAACAATTGTTACAAGTTTTAGGGTAACCAGACACACCTAATGTTGATTGTTCATTGTCCCAGCAGAAGTTCCCGCGTTTCTACGTAGAGCTACCTGTTGATTACAATTTTTTTCTAAGTGTGCCCGACTTTTTTTTGAAAAATAAAAACCAATTTTTTTCAAAATCGATGGAAGAAATATACATTGCGTGACGCTGATTAAAGAAATTAAACAATTTTGCCACGGAATTGAAATAATGAACACTGTGGAACATATTTTTGTATATCCAGGCATTTCATTCATTTTTGGCCCAATTAAACTCATTTTAGAAATAAGGAAAAATAACAAAAAATGAAAACAACTTGAATAATTCTGTCAGGAAGCGGGCTGTATTTATGTAGTTTTACGAAGATGTTCTACCTCCTTGTTGTACCATTATAGAAACTTCTTATTTGATTTCAGTAATTCATTTTTCACAATCAAATAAAAGGGATTTCCTAATGACAACTAATATATAGTCTGGTAACCATCCTAGAAATCGTACGCCTTTAGACATTTTTGAAAATTTTATATAAAAAAGAGTATATTTTAATAATGAGTTTATACTATTGAAGATTGGCCCATCGTAATGTTTTAATGCTAGAAAAAGAAAAAATGTCACATGCCCTCTGACAGAATTGAGTAGAAGACCAATCGAACGGCTGGTTCCCTCCGAAGTTTTCCCCAGGATAGCTGGTGCATTTAAAAATTATGTAAAATAATCTTATCTGGAAGAGCGAATGATTAGATGCCTTAGGGTCGAAACGACCTTAACCTATTCTCAAACATTAAATGGGTAAGAACGACACCTTTTTTGGTATGAATGTGTGGTTGTGATATAATGTGCCCAGTGGGCCAATTTTAATAAGTAAGCAGAACTGGCGCTGTGGGATGAACCAAACGTAATGTTACGGTGCCCAAATTTGTTCAGAAAGTAAGGGAACGAAAAACTTGTTAAATGTCAAAATTTGGTTGTATTACATCAAAATCAACATTTCAGACATTCAGAAGCTGGTAACCATGCTACTATTTTTTACTCCGTCAAATTTGCCTAGTAAAAAGTAATAGTAAACAAGTAAAAAAAAAACTAAGTTCGGCCGGGCCGAACTTTTAATACCCTCCACCATTTCGAAGGAAATTGAAAAATTTCAAAAAATCCGACCTCAATGAAAGCCATTATATGGGGACTTTACGAAGACGTGGACATGTATATGATTTTTTTTTTTATAGGCTGTTGTGCCCATTACGAACTTCCAGTATGAAATTTGAAACAATTCCGATGAATAATGTTACTGAAATCGTCAAAACACCGACTATCGGGAGGTACCGTTATATAAGGGCCATACGAAGACGTGGACCTGCCTACAAAAAATTTTGTCATAGGCTGTAGTACTCAGTACGAACATCAAATACGAAATTTGAAACGATTCCGGTGAATAATGTTGCTGAAATCATCTAAATACTAAATATTGGAAGGTACCGCTATATGGGGGCTATACGAAAACGTGGACAGACATGGCCCATTTACGAACTTAACCGGCCTACTGGTAAACTATGCATGTATGCAAAATTTTAGCCTTCTATCTCAATTCGTTCGAAAGATTGCGTGATTACAACAAACAGACGGACATCGCTATATATACTTTGTAGGGTCTATTATGAACATTTCGGATTCTATGACTTTCCATAGAATGGTGGAGGGTATAAAAAGGGTGCCATTTTTGTGTGTGCTTCCTTAAAAAATTGTAAAAACTAGTAAAATTTTTAATAAGATTATAACCTTGTGAGTTTAGATACACCAATGGCAACATTAAGGAGGTAACGTCATGCAGACAACATCTTATTGTCAAAATCTTTATTTATAAATCCATTGTATACACACTAATCAGAGATGGGAACCAGTGTACCCGATAAATGCTGAGTTGGATATTAAAATGAGGTTGCCTTGATTTAATTGTACCTTGTATCTTAAATGCCCCGTACAGGTCAAAATGCATGACATGCAATTTTGTGGTGTTAGTGAAAATTTTTATGTATGCGTCACACCTACGATGAATAAAGCAAAATCAGAATGCAATATGGAAGCATGAACCATGTGTGCTGAAAGCTTCATGCACACGTATACGATTTTGATGTCATGCATTTTGACCATGTACGGGGCACTTTAGAAGGAGAATGCAAAAAATATGTAGTGAATAAGCTTATATGGAGATCATTGAGTGTGTATTCACTTTGGAAAATAAGGAAATGCATCTTTCAATGTAGTATGAAGAGGAAGTAAAATTTTATATTTGTTTCGTATTGCCCAAATGCAAAACGTAACCAAGGCCTTTGCGAAAACATTTGGGACTTTGGAGAGTGCCGCAGTACTAGTGTAAAATCCCAAAGATCCATTTTGTTAATATATAGATTTCGCCCTTGATATAAAATAAATTCGGACGCGAGAAGATCTATTTTTGTATGGCAAATCTGGTTGAATAAATCCGGAAGGCGAATTATTCAATACATACTATTAACCATTTTGATGGAAATTGTGTTCTATAACTAAATATTTCATTTATTTACCCAAATGATGACTAGAAACGAAAACTCGAAATAAAACATTTGTTAAGTATTTTCTGCATAATTTTTAACCGAATCAGCAGCATTTTTTCACTGTACAAATCTATCTATTTATGATTATAGTTTTTCTCTTTCTCAAGCTTCCTCCTCTGAGAAGGCTTCTATGCTAGCCAGGGGGGAAAACAAACCCAGCCCCAATTTTGTTTGAAATCTTCAAAGTTTAATTAAAACAACGAATCATTCTTATTAATAATGGTAAAAGTAATACTTTTTTATTGCATTTTTTAAAGTTTTTTAACTTTTTTGTTTTGTTTTTTTAATTTTTTTATATCACACACAGAGGAAAAATTTAAAGAAATATTTTTTTATAATAATTACAAGAAATTAAACAAAAATTATGAGAAAAATCTAAAGCTAGAACTAACAGTTTAATTTAGTATACTTTGCTGCTTTTTTTTTTGTAATTACAAATAATTTTACATGTTTTGTTTAACTCTAGTATTGGGGAGAGGATTGGAGGACATATGGAATTATTTAAATGTAAATCAAAGATATTAAACAAAATAATGAACTTAAAAAATTACACAAAATAACAATTAAAAAATATAATAACAGAGAGTATATAAAATTATGTTTAACAGAAAAAAGGAATGAAAAAGTGATTGAGAATAAAAAATTAGCTTAGGGGACCATATAAAAATGTTAACAACTATCACTGCCACAAACATAAAAAGTTTTAAATTTCCATATGTTTACATTTTAAAAGAAGCTTACGATTTTTACACAACAATTTTGAGCAGAAGTTTAAAACAAACTTCAAGTTCTTTGTATGATGAATCTTTCTAAACTTATGTATGTTGTATACAAAATATCACAATTGAAAATAAATTATTTTCATTATTTTTAAGTGTAGCTTAAACGAAAAAATCTCTTAAAAATGAGTTTCAAGTTAATGCCTCTACTATTTCATGATGACAGCAGTAATGTTACAACAAATTCACATATGGTAATTTCTGAACATAATAAACTAAAACCAAAGGCAGTCGTTGGCTTTCAAACTCAAAAGGAAGCGTAAAAAATATTGTAATTCATTTTTGTTTAAGTTTTAAACTTTTTTTGTAGGATTTTTGTAAATATTTTATGTTTTTTTTTTTAATTTGTTTTGAGTTTTTTTTGCGCAAATTATTTTTTTTTTTGATTTTTCTTTTTTTAAGTCTTACATTGTTGTCGTGTTTTATTAGTAGTATTACAGTAAAGAGAGCATTTCAAACAAATATCAAACATTTTAGTTGCAAAAATGTCTAATAAATTGCTGGAAAACTTGTGTTATTTTTTTTCTAATACCATCATCAGTTGCATGGCAACAGGAAGTATATGATTTCGTATAAGTTTTTTTTCTTTTTTTGGTTTGGTTTTTAGTTCTTTTTATCCCGTTTAATGTGTGTATGGGTAGTAGTTATAGTTCGTAGACCTCAAAATAGTGAACGTTGAATGAGGAGATCGTCGTTTCACCACATTTAAGAAATAATGTTCAAGTTACGTTTCCATCTTGTTCCGCTGCTATTCCTAAGAGTTCAAATTCTTGTGTCGTTTATGATGATCCCAGATCAATTATTAAATGGCTTTGTGGTATAAACTCAGCTGCCAGGGGATTTAACAATGAATTGGATACATTACATTCACTGACGGCCAACGAAGATAGAGCTGCACTTAATTCTTCGTTTTTCAACTTTTCCCATTCATTGATTTCTTCTTCTAGCTCATCATCGAGCATGGCGTCTATACATTCTTTCATAAGTTCTTCATCTTCTAAGCGTTGTAATTCCTGTAACAAATTAATTAGATTAATTACGTGTATTTATTAGGCATTTAAAGTATTGTATAGTGTAAATAAAACCGTCGATATAAAAGCGATGTATACCCTCAGCATATGTCCTTTTATTGAAATATATTTTTACTTGCATTATGAACTTTTGTGGGGGAGGTCCAGGAAAAGAAGACCGATGTATTCAATTTTAAGACTCCATCTAATACCGATAAAATTATTCGGATGTGCCAAATTCACTTATTTCCAATAGTATCTAATTTTTTTTTTGAGGATTGATATTATGTGGGGAAGGTACCAGAAGGAGTGGACCGACATATCCCATTTTTACATTATATTTATGGTGGGCTATACAAAAACCGTAGACCGTATGTATAGGTTAACGTTTTTGTATATGTTTCGCCATACGAGTTACAACCCATTATGACCCACAAATACCAATTTTTAGACAAATCAGTTATATGGGGGCTATACCAAAACGTGGACCTATACATACAATGCCAATTATGCAAATACAAATTTTTAGACAAATTTATGAAAAATATGCAAAAATCATCGGAATACCTAATATCGGGAGGTATCGTTATATGGGGGCTACACCTAAACGTGTACCTATACATACAATGTTTCGCCACACAACCTAGAACCCAATAATACCTACATATACCAATTTTTAGACAAATTCGTTGAAAAGGTACCGTTATATGGGGACTATACCAAAACGTGGACCAACAATACAAATTGTTCCTGTAATAAATTTGATGCACTACGTCAAAAAACGTGGGCTGCATCGTGATTTCAACAGACAGACTTAGAATTTTATGCTGATTATGAATATATATACTTTATGGGGTTTACGATGAATATTTAGGCATGTTACAAACGGAATGACAAAGTTAATATACCATCCTTTCCAAGGTAGAGGGTATAAAAATTGAATCTTTCTGGGGGGAAGATCCTGAGTAGTTGTGCGAAGCTAAACAAAACATTGAATGTTTTGCATTTTAGGAAACTTATAATTATTCAAAGTTTTGAGTCCTATCTACCAGATCTTGTCTTTATAACCGTATTGGCATGTGTGAAGTTTAAAAGGGATCGATAGCTCATTTCGTTTTTGTGGGGGAGTAACCAGAAGGAGTGGTCAGCTATGTCCCATCTTCACACCAGATATTGTTGTGATAGAAACATTAAGAATTTGAAGACATACGGACACTAAGTTCAAAATTTTTAAGAGTTATGATTATTCAAAATTTCAAACCTATGTGGGTGAAGTACTTGAAGAGTGGGTCGATTTTGTGGACCGCATCTGATCTAGCACTGACACAAATATTAGGCTTTGAGAAGTTTGAGCAAAATCTCATTAACCTTTCTCTTTTTCTCTGTGAGGTAAATTTTTTTTAATAGTGTTGGTTTTTGAATGGGATGCCAGAAGGAGTAGAAAGATATTACAATGTGCAATTTTAGAAATATTACAATGTACTAAGTTAGAAAGAATTCGGGTACTCTCTTCGAAAGTTATTGTGCGGACCAGCCAGCTAGGCAGACAGACGGACATCGCTAGATCGATGAAAAAAATGTTCTGAAACGGATTTCATCCAAAGATATCTAGGGTTATTTCGATTAGGCATGTTTTGGCCGTATCAAATAAGTTATACCCTTTGTAGCCATATGTTAAAGGCCTTATTATTTGAAATTTGAGGGTGCTATCATTTCAGCAGAGCCGAAAATTGGAGGCAAACCTCTTAACATGGAAATGGATCTAAACGAAATCATAGAGGTCTTTGGATATATGTCTAAAATTGACCTCATATGAAATCTTATCCAAATTGTCGCCTACTTTTTTTGTGAGGAATGTGAACATATATGAAATCACAATCACACTTTTGGAGATTAGAATACAGCTGAATATTGATGGCAGTTCTGACCATGAAATTCTAAAAAAGAGAGTATTTGTGATCCTTATGAGCAAAGTACAACTATCTGCAGGAAATTGCAAAGAAAAAAACTAGAGTGCTAACAGGTTTCTGTTTTGTTCGCTGACCTAAGACCTAAAAGATAAGCATTAACACGTAAACAAGGCTGCATCATAGTGAATATAGACATTTGTAAGGAAATCTTTTTTAACGAACATCTATTTATAGAAATTACTGGCTTGTATAATATACAGAAATGCAATAAATTGTCGTTTTGATGTATTCTTCTAGACCGGTTATACTTTCATATGGATGATTTAATAATAGATGCATGATTTAGGACCTTTCTGATTTCCTAAAGGCATATATAGGGATTTTCGGATGGAACCAATGGCGTACGGAGTCGAAGGTTTGTAGAATGAGTTCTAAGTGGTATTCTGTTTAGTTAAAGCCTTACTACAACAATTTTATATCCAAAGATAAGAAATAATTTAACAAAGTTTTTTGGACCTATTCAGGGCATGCTTGTATACCAAGTCATTTGTCCGTGAACTTCGGTCCTACCTTACATTTTCAGGAATTTTAAGACCTTCTGAAATATATTGTTTAATTCTTGTCATAGCCATGAAATATTTCTGTTTATAACATGTTTCGGTCAATAATATAAATGTGTGTTATCTAAAAACGTAATATTTGTAGGGAGCTATTTGTTTATCAACATCGGCAATCAATGCATAGAAATTACTCACAGTTTTATCGAATTCCTCTTCGTTTTCCATCCACAAATATTCGGAAAAATCTGGCTCTAAGTCATCCAAATCGTTGTCTGATTCCTCTTCTATGACATAGTGTTCGAATTGATCGGACCAATCACTTGATGGGATTTTCATGAGCATTGTGAAAACAAAAAAACTGCAATAAATAATACAAATAAACAAAATTTATTCATTTTTTTTTTTGAAGGATATAAAAATTAGAATTTTAGTAAATTTATATTACAATAGGTACCTATGTGACTTATTTACGCCGGAGTGTATAATCGAATTTACGAAATTTGTGTTATTGTATTGATAATTTTACACTTTTTTTGTTCACCACCCGAACGAGCGTTGCCTGTCTGACTGGTATGTTTTTGCGTATTGAATTGAATTTTGCCAATTTTTCTGTTTGTTTTCTTTTTTTGATGATGTGGTGATAGGTAGAGCGGACAACAACATACACAAAGCAAATGCAAAAGAAAGACAACAAATGAAAAGTTAAAAACAAAATAAGAAAATCTATTTTTATATTTCTAGTTATGACCTGCGCGTAAAACACGTAAACAAAAACATAAAAGACCGACCTGCCACCAGTCAGTCAGCTATTGGAGGTAGTTGGAATAAATCAACCAAACAAATGGATGGATGACTAATGTTTTTGTATAGAAGAAGCAAAACAAAATGGAATAATGGATAAACACGTATGTAGGCTGTGTTTCGAAGATATGAAAATGTCAAAGACAAAAACAGAACTTTTTAATTTGTTTATAAACAATATTACATAAAAATTTATCAGTAGTAAACAAATGATAAGAATTAAAAAAAAACATGTAGTGACCTAAATGAGATTCCTAATGCATTATATGAATGCCGAATTATGTATGTAGACGTGTCTATGATTTATTTATAGAAAGGAACGAAGGAAAGATGCATTTTGTGGTTTTGTTTAAAATAAATTCTGCAAATATAGGTCAAAAACACAAAAAAATTGTTTGTCAACATTTTCTACAAAATAAAATTGCGCATTATATTCGAAAGGAATGAAGTGTTTTTGTTGCACACATTTATTTTTGTGTGCCAGATCAGTTCTCAAAAGGATTTAATTATATTTCTTTCCCCAAATGTTATTGTTACATTTTCTTTATCTGATAGCTAGAGTTGTGAAAGATAATTTGAAATTTAAAAATATTTTACTCAACTATCCATATCCATTCGTTTATGGATATGGTCAAAAATATGCCCTATCAATATACTGATTTAAGTCAAGTCAACATATCGCTCAGACTTCTTTTTTCGGATATATTCCTCTTAAATGGTATTTTTTGAAAAAAAAAAATAAATTTTGAATTGCGATGTTAGATTTCATTTACATTTTTTCGAGTAACAAAAACGAAAACCTAAAATCTTAATCACAGTATCAGTCGAACAAATAATAATAGAATGTAATGCAAAATTTTTATATAGAACATTGCTGGAGGAGATAATTACTTACTTTATTAATACACTTTATATGGGCTAATTATAATAAGCGTATAAGTACAATTTATTTAATGAATTACAAATCAAAAATTAAATGTTGTACGTGATATTTATATTAAACAGGCATGTACATTCAGCATTAACGAACATGTGTTTTGTTGTTTTGAAATGCAAAAAATATATATACTTATATACATCAACAAAAGATGGCAAATAAAAAAGTACAACGTACTTTAGCAACCTTCGTATATACTAAATGAACCCAATGAAGGCAACCAAGGTGACACAAGTGTATTTGTATATGTATTGAACAGACAGTCAGACAGATGGATGGACGGACGGACAGTACGTGTAAACTGAGAACATACACATAATTATTGGCAAATAGACACGTATTTTTTAATTGAGAATACAGATGATATACAGAAACAAATATATGGCAAGTCAATTGAGAAATGAATAAGATAAGCTAACAAATCTTGATAAAGTAGAAGTAAAGAAAAATATAGTAGTCATAATAAAAGATTGATTTGTTGGCAGAATTTACCCAGCGAACGACTTTTAATAGAATTGTTGATGCCAGAAAAGGTTCATGGTTTTCCTTAATTCTTATTGAAAAGACTAATTGAAGTTATCTGTATATCGATTTATGTTGAGGTATTGTTAACAGAAGTAATTTTATTAGGAAAATATGGACCTAATATAGAAAATGCTCTGCCCATGGAGGTAGAAGTAAATAATCAAAATAGCAACTATCTAGAGATATCGTTATATCGGGGCTATAGTAAAACTCTAAATACCAAATTTGAAACAATTCTGTGCATAATGCAAAAATTCTGCAATAAATGTATGTCCGGAGGTGCGGTAATGTGGGGGCTATACGAAAACTTAGACTAATATACCATTTAATTTTCAATACCAAACATCGTAGACATAGTGTAAAATATTGTGCCAAAATTCGCAGCTCTACGTAAGAAAATGTGGACTTTATCTCGATTTCAACAGATAGACGAGCGTCGTTTAAAAGAACTTACAATTTTATGCTTATTATGAAGTCTCAGACGAATATTTGGAGGTGTAACAGACGGAATGAAAAACTTAAGTGTGACTTAAGAAGGGTTGTTGTTTTGGGAGAACCATTGCGAATCAATCTGAAATTTTTACAATTTCTGAGTACAACGATATACATTTTTTCTTGGGGAAGTCCATAGCTCCCGACCTGGTGACGTCTAAATTTCCGTTAGTGCCTGTTGCATTTTCAGTATTTGCAAGACCAAGTAAGTCGGTAGTGGGATTTGTCCATAGGCGAGCCTCGGCAAAAGCCGGGGTCCCTGCGGTAAAAATAAACGGCGAGGGGACCTAACTCCTACGTGTTAAAGTAGTGAATCGTTTTAATATTGATACCCGAATTGATTTGACAATCTTAGAGCACTTCCACCTTATATAATTTGTTTCTTTAAAATTCCACCAATATCACAAAAACATATCTATATATCTTTGCTATTCTCCAAATGTTAACTGGGTGGAACCCATGTTTATTGGGTATACGGGTATATCAAGAACAAAAAAAGCTATCGTTTCATGAAATGTAACTGAAACATTGAACTCAACAGCTACAGAGATGTCTAAAAGGTAAGAAACAACAAAATTAATTATTTTTGTTCAAAGCTAAATTAAATTACGGAAATGAATTGTTTAAATAATGTACCACACATTATTTCCGGTATTGCATATGTATGTTTCTTTACAAACAGCAAATAGTAAGAAACAAACCCACACGTACGTATGTACATACAATGCAAATAAAATTCAAACAAAACAAGTGTTATACTACTTACAAACGACTGCTGTTAAATAAATCTTAAAATAGTAGCAAATTTCTTTAATTATTTTTTCAACAGTATTTTTTGTTTTTACAAATGAAGTGAGTGATATGGAAAAACAAAATGGAGTTTTTTCTTTTCGATTTCTCTCTCTTTTTTGACGTTCGGTTATATTTTTTCTTTTAATGAATAAAACAATAACCAAAAGGTAGGCGAAATAAAATTTTAACGGGATGGCACAAAAAGTAAAGACAATTATACTCACAATTTATGTTATGTTCTGCAAAGTTACAATGACTCTCTTAACTATTTTACGAAAAAATCACTTGAAATTTTGGTATAATGTATTTTTAACAAGAAATTTGCAAAAAAAATATCTAAAATTTTCAACACTAAAAATTTTGATTGACAACGGTAAAAATCCAATAATACACCAAAAACAAGTATATGCCGTACGTGCAAAATAACAACTGCGTTGACTTCTAATTAGGGATCTGTAGTCAACTTTTGGGTAATAGTTTAAAAATCGATTTCTACTCATGAAATAAAAATCGAATGTTTCGATTTCCATCAAATTCATTTTACCCTGCCCCAGACAGATTAAGCAAGTGAACACACTAGCAATTCGTCACAACCAAATGATGTTGGAAACATTAAATGCTGAATTTATGTCACCTCAATTACACAAATAAGCAAGTTTGTATTAAAGGCCTGCACAAGACGAATTGTATGAATTATGTTTTTTTGACACACTGACTTTGTCTAGTCAATCATGTGCTATGTATTTGATAGGCAATGACAACCAACAACATTCCCCATTTTGATTCATGTGTGCCATTGTCTAAGGTTCGATCGTGGCATGGCTGACTCGAATATTTGCATGGTGTTTTCCATAAATGCAGGGTGTCGACGATGACATCGAACCATGTCATCGTCAAATTGTGTGTCATTTGTGTACGTGTGCTTAAATTGAGAGAGTGTGTGTGTTACTTTCGAAGGTGATTATGTGTTTTTGTGTGTGCTGTAATTTTGAAGTAACAAACACGACATACGTATAAAAGTGAGTACGAAGTCAATAATTAAAAAATATTCTTTATGACGTAGTTGAGGACAGAGATATTAAGCCAATTTATCAGTTTTTTTTTTAATAAGGATTTACATTTTGGATTGTTTCGTCAATAACCGAAATGTGAAAATTTTGTGTGGACCAATTAAGAAATACTTTATTACAAAAAATGTATTTTTTCACATATCGGAAAAACAAAAACAGCGATTGCGCTTTGCCTTCGTTACGTGTGTGTCTTTTTCGTTAGCATTGTTTCATTATTGTTATAATTTTTGTGGTAGAACATTTTTGTATGACACACTATTCAACATCCCCTTTTATTGGTCATTACATGTTATGACGATGGGTTTGAGTCTGACCGACATGACGAGACATCGAGCATTTGGTTGGATGTCACGTACTGTTATGCGTTTGATCAAACAGGACACAACATGACGAGCGTTTTCTCTTCATGGCATAAATAGAAAAATGTGTCACACTTGCAGCCCTTTAGTTTGTATGGTACAATGAAGAGAAGGTAGGCCAAAAATTGCAAGTATAGAGGTCTACCTGTTTGGCTTGTAATGTCAGAATTAGTATAAAAACAATAAAAAATCAAACAACTTGTTGCATTTATTTTGAATAAATAATTGAAAACCGCGATAACTGAATGAATGGTCAACACTTCTTTTCAAAATCATGTACTATATATCTATAAAGGATTATTTCGCTACAAAAACTCTATATTTTGTCGATGCATACGTTGAAATAAACATTTTGGAAACACCCGAATTTGAATGTTTTCTGAACAATTTTTTTATTATTGAAAAGAAAACACATACATAAAAAAAATAAAGACGACATATTAAGCCAAGAAAATAAAAATATTAAAATCATATGGTATCATAGCTCTACCTTGATATCATTGTACCATGCAAGTTTGATATTTCATGTTCGTTCAGCTTCGTCAAAAACTTAATAAAATTAAAAAAAAAAAATGAATAAAAAGTGTGGAATTATAGGCACAATATTTCTTAAAATAAGACATATCGGTGCGTATTTCATGTATTTTCGTTCAAATACTCATAAATAAGAAATTATGTTATGTGATCTGAAACGACGTGATTCAAATATTAATGAAAGTATTGTATAATAAAAACTGAAAAAATAGTAAATGTAAACACGCCTTCCTTTGAATTGAAGGTTGAAGACTCTTTCTCGGATTTTATAAATCCAGTGTAAATTTCTAATTCAATTGGCATATAGGGTAAGTGTGCCTAAGTTCGGCATGTCCCAGTAGTCGGCACTTTTTATTTTTAAGCCCAAATAAATGAAACTTTTATAACTAAATGTATTTTGTTTACTTCAAATATATTTTCAGATATCTTTGTGTACAATTTCGCTAAGAAAAGATGATTTATTCTAATAAAAATTAAATTTTTGTCTGTGAAGGTCCTCAACAATCCATATTCTTAAGAAAATTACAATAAAGACGTCGAATCAGTTTAACTAAACAAAAATATTATATTTTAATGAATTAATTTATTATAATTATTATTTATTCTTACAAAAAATCGATATGCCGACTGTTGGAACATGCCATACCGACAATTGGCAAGTGGTGCCGACTACTGGCAAAAAAGCATTGTTTTAATAAAACTACAAATTTATGAAATTTAATAAAAAGTTATTAAAACTTTATTTATTATTGCAAAAACTATACAAAATTTCGAATCTGAATAAATTAACTTTGTAATAATTGAAAAGTTGCACTTAGAATGGCGAGTGATTAAAAATGCGAAAATCCTAAAAGTGCCGACTACTGGTACACTTACCCTATGTGTAGTGTACCAACGCCATTGCAATATGAATGAGGGTTCAGAAAATCGTTTTTCGACAAACCGACTTTTTGGCGGGAAAGCTTACTATCGATTGTTAGGGTTTAGAAAAATATCGAATAGTTTTGTGAGAGCTTTGTAAAATGTCGCGTCAATAACGGAAAACGGATCGGAAAAATTATAAATTGAGGTTTTCGGGGTTTTCGAGCAATTTTCGAAACGGAAAGTGTTAGTTTATGTTTAGTTTGGATCAAGAAGACTATCATGACACCTGGAACTACAAGTTCATTTGATTGTTTGGCGTATATCAATGCTTTGTATGCACTTTTACTGACGTCCGGTGACCAAATAGTTTTTTGCTGCACAAAGTTGCAGTTCTAGAAATTATGTCAAAGAAAAAAGAAAAGAAAATGATAATGGAGTCGCTTAAATTTAATATTATGGCTGCATTTGATTACATTAGGATAATGACTTGTCGAAATGTTTAAAATTTTCTCTGTAGCAGAAGTTAAAGTCAGAGTATAGTGTGCCACAAACAGTTTTCTATTGGCCGCAGCAAAATCAATTATGTTCAATGCAGATAATATACAAATCCTGATGTCGCCAATGGAATAAAAACAAAAAATTGCGGATTTATAATTTTAGTGTAGAATACAATAATCCAAACAAACAAAGCTGTTTGTATCATTAAGGTAAGTTTCAAATTCCAATTGAAGTACCTTTATACAAAATTTTCATTTTTTTATAGGGACATGCCAATAACATTGATACTTTTAAAATGGGAGATTTCTTGAAATATTCGGAACAGGAAACGATTTTTTATAATTAGCGTGAAAGAAGACTTCAAATACGTCTGGAATTATTGTTGCAGAGTTTATATGAAATTTCAAATATAAACAATATCTAAGAAAAAAGTGTCCTGGAGACAAGAACTGATGAATGATAACGGTGTGTTTAAATATCAAATTATGACTTAACGCGGTTACATATAAGAATGGCTCGTCGAAACTTTAATATAATTATCCAAAGCTGGTGTTCCGTTCTGGCAAAAGAGCCACCATGATGTGGATTATGACGCGTACGCGGTCCCTACGTTCAAAGGGTGAGAAAGTGAGGCATTGGGTACATTCGGAAAACGAGTACTCAATTTTTGCCAGTGATTTTTATTTGGAAAAAGGACAATTTGCAAAAAGGACAATGCTGTTGTACCTGTAAATAACTGGAAATGTGGTGGTATGAAATTTTCGAGACGGGAAATGATTTTATATGTCTAGCTCGACAAAAACACTTGAAAGTATCAGTTCATTTTATTTCTCAAGTATATACAACATCTCCAAAATAAAGTCCAGGAATCTGGGACTGAAGTTTATAACAGCGTAGTTAAATTTAAAATAAAGCCTAAAGCCTCGTCGAAACTTTGTAATTATTATCCAAAGCTCGTGTTCAATTCTGGCAAAAAATACCACCAAGATTTGGATTATGATGTGTATGCGGTCCTACATTCAAACTGCACGGTCGGTAAGGGTTGGAAAGTGTCGCGCTGGGTACGTTCGGAAAGCGAAAATTCAGTTTTTGTCAGTGATATTAATTCGGAAAAGAACCCTAGCAAAATTAACGAGTTCAATGCAGATTTCATACGTGTTCGGATGTAACAATGAATATCTGGCAAAAATAAGGACTTATTCATTTAGTTTAGAATAGGTGTAGTGTTATCAAGGTAAGTTGAAAATTCCAATTGAAGTGTAAAGAAAATCGTTCATGTTCTTATTGTTTACAGAGACAAACAAATCACAACGATACCTGTAGAAACTGAAGGGGAGTGATCACAATACATTTTTATATCAAGGTGAATAATATTGGTGAAGTAAAGGTAAGCCCTAAACATATATTCTGTATTTGAACTTTTGTTCCAAAATATTTTGTGAGGTTGACACCTTTCCAGCGGTATCTACCGTGTTCATGGGAAATAACCCAGTAAAATGAAATTGAATTATTTTAGAATGAAGTAATATTTTCTAAATTTTCTTTAGACATATACATTTAAAACCTAGGCAATTAACATGAGAATATTTTTTATTAATTTTCAAAGAATTCCGTTTTCTGTAGCTTTTACATTTTTTTTAAACAAATGTTTCTTTGTCTACTTTCAAAAAGCATTACAAAATACATGATCAATATTTGAAAGATACGACTTCACGACTTCAAAATCATGTAGCCCAGAATTAGTCTTAATAGAATAAAGGCATTTTTCCGGGGAGGAATTGAATAATTGTGTTTTGTCTTGGCAAATTGTGGAATAATATAAGGGCGATATTTTCGAAACTGTTAGTAGAATTTCAATAAGATTTGTTTAACTTTCACTGAAAGGTGTATATGATTTTTTTATTCTGTCGAAAACCCGATGCAACGAACCCGTTGCTTTTTAAGTATTTTGATGGAATGGAAGCTAAGAAGGAGGCTCCTGGGCATAAAACGGTACAGATTTTCAATATTTTTAAATACTCGTTTAATTCTACAGTTCATCGACTGTAGTTTGATATTTCTCCATTTTAATGAGTAGAAAAATTTCTCTCAGAAATTGCCCTAATATTTTGTTGATGTTGATGTCTCATTGAACATAGTAATAAGTACTGATTTTTTTTTTAAATGTTTTTTATTTCACACAATTTCACATAAATATTTCCATAAAACAGATTTTAAAAACTTAACATTTAAAATCGATTGATAATAATACAAGTATAAAAAACAACAATTTACAATAAAATATTATTTAACATTAACGCTTAATCAATTACTATCAAATTTTCTATATACAAATCCTTAAATTAATTAACCAAATATAAATGCATTACGCTTCGCTAGTTTGATTGTTTAAATCTTGATTATTATTATTTTGATTCTTATCCAAATGGCCCCAATTGGCCAATTTTGAACTACCAAATAGGCCATAGACAGCAGCTCCCAAAAGATATGATGCCATTAGGGTAAACATAACAGAATTCCATTCGAGTTTTGTGCCCTGCGAGAAATAAATTAATTAAATATTGCAAAAAGTACATATATTAAAAAAATACACTTACGTTACGCACTATAAGTGATATGCCATGTGGTGCCAAAAATCCACTAACCGTTGCCAAGCAGTTGGCTATACCCGAAATTAGGCCGGCATATGTTGGTGCAACAAACAGTAAACTGGGCCAATAGGCACCGGAAAATGCCATATCCGTAGAGATTCCAATACACATAGTAAATAATACAACCAATATACGTTGTTGACAATCGGACAGTACAATGCCGACAATAAAAAGGACGGTACTTAAATTACCTAAAATGAAATTTAAACAAGTAAAAAAACTGTACGTTTGACAGGGGCGATCTTTGAATATCCTCCAACATTTGGTAGAAATTTGGCAATTTTCAAAAAGAAAAAAAAAATCCGTTAAAAATTCTGTTAAAATATTAAAAATACCGAATGTAGCCGTATATTAGGGTCTATACTATAACGTGGACCTGCATAGGCAAATTTTGTCATAAGCTATTACAATATTCGAATGCGGAACTTGAATTGAATTGTTTTTAATGTAGCTAAAATCATCAAAATACCGAATATAGGGAGGTGCCATGGGGGTTATAAAACGTGGACCTGCATAGACAATTTTCTGGCATAGGCAGTAGTATCCACTACTAACTTCAAATACAAAATTTGAAATACTTCCACTAAATAATGTCGCTAAAATCATCAAAATACCGAATATCGAGGGTACCGTTATATGGGGGCTATACGAAGACGTGGACCGGCACAGACAATTTTCTGGCATAGGCTGTAGTATCTATTACGAACTCTAAATACGTAATTTAAAACAATTCCGGTGAATAATGACGCTAAAATCATACAAATACCGAATTTTGGTAGGTACCGTTATATGGGGGCTATACGAAGACGTGGAACTGCACAGACAATTTTCTGTCATAGGCTGTAGTATCCATTACGAATCTCAAATACCAAATTTGAAACAATTCCAATTAAATAGGAACTTGACGCAATGTAATATTATTAAAAATATATCAAGTTTGAGAAAGGACCCCTCATTCATATCCCTTCCCAGAAAGTTCATAAAATTATCTTTCTCATATAAAGCAGAAAAAAAGTCGATATAGTCCGAAATTGGCATATCATAACTTTATATCACTTTATATTCAAAAATTGAAAGTAGAAGTGGATTTTCTATTTTCTGAATTTTCCATTAGCAACTGACCAAAATTTTTGGATTTTCTTGAAATTATTTGTGGACATTTTTAAAAAATGTTTAAGCTCATCCTGTCCATAAATTGTGATATCATTAAGCACGTCGTGGTAAAAAATCAATGGCTTTATGAGCATTTTTAATGACTTCCTGGCAAATTACAGTGAGTCCAATGTTATTCAAGAACCAACTCAAATGTTTAAGTACATTCTGTCCATAAATTGTGATATCTTTAGACAAGGGCTTTTATGAGCATTTTTTAAGGACTTCCTGGCTAATGACAGTGAGTCCAATGCTAATGACAGTGAGTCCAAGGACTTCCAAGTCTAAAAATGTTAGATTTTTTAATGAAAATTTTCAAGGCCTTCCGGGCAGACTGCCAGGATGCCTATAAACGTGTATCTATTGTTTTTCAAGAATTTTTGGCAAAATCTTTTGGATTCATTTATGAGAAATTTCTAGGACTTTTTTGACGACTGATAGTTTATAAATTGCATTTAATACAAAATAATCATACTTACATACAACATAAACGATTCGACGAAATCGTGTTAAATTAAGATTTTCACGTTTCTCGATAATACTGCACGAGACAATGGTGAGACCCTTCGATATGAAGGCACCGAAAAATGGCGCCGATGATAGAATTCCAACTTGTGCCAGCGGCAGCCTCATGGCTTCCTTGAAAAATCTCGGTATCAACAGCGTAAATACCATAATGCCATAGGTATGGAAAATGTGCGTAAATATGAATGCATATACGGCAACGGATGTAAAAATATCTTTCCAGGGTACATCCGCATTGGCGGCCTTTACTTGGCTACTTTTTAAATACTCATATTCCTCCTTCGATAGGCGGGGATGATCTTCCAATTTGCTGTACACCAACCAATGACAGGAGATGCCAAATAGAAGAGACACACCACCTACCACATAGAATGCTGTTTCCCAACCCAATTTGCATAGGAAACTAGATATGGGAAATACCAGAAGTGCACCCACAGAATAACCACCGTAGGCAAACGATAGGAATGCTGTACGTTCGGTGGGATGAGCCCACGTTGAGAAAAGTTGATACAAAGCTGGATTGCCACAACCCTAGAGAATGAAGGGATTCCGATTATTGTTCTAATTTTAATTTCGTATTTTTTTCCTTACCGCCACCAATCCTTGTAATATCCGTACTATAACTGCTCCCGTATAACTTTGCCGTGCAAAAAATGGTATCAACATAAAAACCATGGCCTGAATCGTAATGGAGTGCACGAAGAGCAGTTTACCACCAAATCTATCGGCCAGACGACCAGCAATCGGCAGTGTCACTAAGTAGCCATAGTAAAAGGTACCCAGTACAGCGAATTCTTGATTTCGTGTCCATATTAGATCACCTGTCTAAAAGAAAAGAAAATGACAGATATTTCATTGAGAAAGGTATCAAGGTATGAAATAAGAAGTTGGAACGTATCAGTCGGATAGCCGACACCTGTATAACCTATGTCCGTGTGAAAGAAATTAGTTTCGGATCAAAATATATAAAAGAATAGAGTGATTAGTGACTGACTGATTTTTCAACGCTCCGACGAAACGGCTGAAGGTAGAATCTTAAAATTTTGTTGTTGAGTAGTGGTGAGCTTTGGAAATTTGCACTGTAGTGTACTAAAAATACTAATATTGATAAAAATTGTTTTCGGTAAACGGATGGAGTTGAAAATTTGAAATATTGGTATTGGGGTCACTGATAATGGGTGGGTTTGAAACAGAGAGGTGTTTTTGGGAATGTGTACTATAAGAATACCAAAAAGTGGTATTAAGCTTGCTATTGGGCGAACAGATAGTGTTTGAAATATAAAAATTTGCATTTGGTGCACTGTTAAAGGGTAGTGTTTTTTATACCCTCCGTTTGTAACTCCTCGAAATACTCATGTCAGACCCAACAAAGTATATATATTCTTGATCAGCGTAAATTTCTAAGTCGATTTAACCATGTCTGTCTGTCCGTCTGTCTGTCTGTCCGTCTGTCTGTCCGTCTGTCTGTCTGTCTGTCTGTCCGTCTGCCTGTTGTAATCACGCTATATTTCGAACGAATTGAGATAGAAGACTAGATAGAAAATCTGCCTGCAGACAAAAGGCAGATCTGTGCAAAATTTTAGCTTCGACGGAAAGGGCTGATTCGTCTTAGAATTTTACGCTGATCAAGAATATATACTTTGCTGGGTCTAAAATTATGATTTCAACGAGTTACAAACGAAATGACGAACTTAATATACCTTCTATATCATGTATGGTAGATTGTAAAAAACCGCAAAACAACGGAAGCGAGTACATTATCTTGGTTAATAGCAACCACAACACACGATATTATATTAACATACGAGTATAAATATTTTAATGATTTCTAATAAGAAAACAAAAAAAGAGCGCGAGAGAAAGTAAAATCTGTTAACATATATCATAAAAATAGTTCTGTGGTTTGAGTTCATAAAAATAAATAGAGAGTGATCACACCATCAATAAAAATTATTGATACCGTACTGCGGATTTAGGTCCGTTTAAATTTGAAATTAGATGGAACTAATATATGGAAGTTATATCTTGACCTTTATTGATTTTCAATAAATTTCTTGGAGCTATATCTGTACTGATTTGGTCCGTATGACCAAAAATTCAAAATAATTGGATACACATAATAGGATTGGTGCATCATTTATATCAAATTAGTATTTCTAGAATGTAACCAAAGTCATGTCATTAGATTATAAATCGAATAAAACATTGCAATATCTTCACCGATTTTCAGAAAATTCGACATATGTGCCAAAATCTATTAAGTTTGGGAAATCATACGGAGATATTTGTTTTATTATCCGATTGAGACGAAATTTTCCAAACAACATTTGTTTGAACCAAGAACGAACCCTATTGAAATTGGAGATAATCGGTTAAAAATTTAGATATAGCTCCCATATATATCTTCGTCCGATTTGCGTTTTATTGTGCACCAAACGTGTAATATCAGCCCGAAAATGTGGAATTTTGCACATACAACCAAATTAGGCCTGAAAATAAGTATGCCAAATTTAATCGAAATCGAGTCAGATATAGCTATAGCTCCCATATATATTGTTCATACGATTTGTTTTTTTTGTCCTCCGCAGCCGTAATATGCACTCTGTGACAACATTATTTGGGGAAATATATCAAATGCAGCTCAGAAATACCTTTGCTAAATTTTATCGAGATCGGTTCAGATATGGATATAGCTCCCATATATATCTTTATCTGATTTCAAATTAATTTTGCACCAAATGGGCAATACAAGTCCGAATTTAAAAGATACAAATGCTTCGGCATATTTAGTCCTTTGAACTTTAAATTATAATTACAGGGTTGCCCATATTCGACGGACCCATCTGGCAACGCCATAACTTTTGACAGAGATGTCACATCGCTTAATGACATACCGCGTTTGAAGCGTCAGTCCAAGCAGATTTTTACCATGAACCAATACACGCCACGCGAGCGCTCTGAAATAGTTGAAATTTACATTCAACAGAAGAAGTCAATTGTGAAAACTCAGCGTGCTTTTAAAACATTAAAAAATGTGAGAAGTGCGCCTTCTAAGAACACCATTAAGCGCTTATACGAAAATTTTTCGACTGGTAAGGCTCTTTCTAATCCGAAGAGGCCATATAAAAGTCGACCAAGGCGATTGGCCAAAAATACCGCTGCCGTACGAGCCAGTGTTGAGAGGTCCCCAAGAACATCCCACAAACGCCGTTCTCAGCAGTTGGGCATGGCTCGGTCCACTTTACAACGGATTATTCGCATTGATTTGCATTTGTTCCCGTACAAAATTCAATTGACGCAAAGAATGTTGCCTGCGGACAAGCCTCGTCGATTGGAATGGGTCCAAAGGTCCGTCGAATATGGGCAACCCTGTATAATCATAGCGTGTATGATTGAATTCTCCCATAAAAACTTTTAATTGTTATGTGGAGCTCTACTAAATTAGCAAAGTGGTGTTGGGTATCATAAAGTCGGCGCCACCCGACTTTAGGACTTTCTTTACCGTTTTTTTTTTTAAATTTCTTGAATGAAAACAAAAATGTCGGAAATAGCATCAAATTTTAGAATAATTTCAGATTTGTTGGTGTTGGTCACCTTTGGCACGAATTATGGCCTTCAAACCGTCACACACTGCCCGAATGTTGCTCTGCGGTATTTTGGCCCATTCCCGGCGAAGCGCTAGCTTGAGGTGATCGACACTTTGGTATTTTTTAGTGTCAACCTTGCTTTCCAAAATACTCCAGATACAATAGTCCAACGGATTGGTATCCGGAAATTTTGGTGGCCATTGCGCGCTGGAAATTAAGCGAGGAACCTCATTTTGTAACCGTTCTTTGGTGGCGCGTGCTGAGTGCGTTGACGCTGAGTCCTGTTGTTTGTTTGCGTGCCCTAGGCTTTAACACACCCTTCAGAATATTTTCGCGACCGGAGAGCTGTTATGGCGGCCCACACCATCACTATGGCTGGCGCTTGATTTTCTGGTGGTCAACCGAAGGTGCACATTTTCCGCTGACCGCTTTGGCAAGGAAACACGATAATTTTGGTTTTCTCATCGGAAAAAACAAATTCGGCAGTTCACCACTTTCGGCCAAGCGAAGCAACTCTTTAGCTCTTTTGAGTCTTATTCTTTCTGTTGCGGTGTAAGTTTATGTTTAGCTCACTGCGGTCGCTTCTTTACTTTCCGAACTATTTCTGCTAATGTTGCTGTTTTCTTTCGTCCACTTCTCTGACGTCAGGCTACGCTAGTATCAAGATAACGATCGATGGTACGAGACACAAAAGATTTATTCACATTTAAATGCTGGAGTGCTCTAACGATAGCCACTTGTGGTTTTCAAGACAAATATAAAAAAATCACACTGTCACCCTTGAATTCCACCACGAAGAACTTTTTATCTGGAAAATTCTCACCAAATTGCTTTTGTACGCTTGTAAACAATATAATGAGCTGTCACTGGAATAATTTTAACAGCTGTCGGACGAATGGCGTAGAACTGACTGCAGTTTGAAGTTGGTTGCAGTTTTTTCATCTCACCCTGTCTATATACTTTGTAGGGTCTATTCTGAATATTTCAAGGAGTTACAAACGAAATGACAAAGTTATTATACCCTCCATAGAATGGTGGAGGGTATTAAAAGGGTAGCGAAGCGCATCGGGTTCAGCTAGTAGCCTCCATATAATGGAACCTCTAAGAACTTGGTATTCTGATGATTTTAGTCAAATCTTTAAATTGAAGTGTTTGAAATTTGGCTAAAAGTTTTGAGAGATCCTGTTATATGGGGATTATAAATTCCGAGAAAATATAACAAAAAACCTCAATATTAGGGTGGCAAAAACTCTAAAATAGCAACGCTTTACAGTGGACAAACATGGAATAGTGTGATGTTGACCTTTATACACATTTACGTTGATCTTTTCTCGAAATTATTATTAAATATTATTAAAATTATTTAGTAGATTTGTTTGAAATTTTTAAGTTTTCAAATAGCATTTATACAACAATATTTGATTCTTGATGTTTTTATTCACATGTATTAAAGGATTTTTTATACCCTCCACCAAAAAAGTATGGAGGGTATATTAAGTTCGTCATTCCGTTTGTAACTCATCGAAATAATCATTTTAGACCCAACAAAGTATATATATTCTTGATCAGCGTAAAATTCTAAGACGATTTAGCCATGTCCGTCTGTCTGTCTGTCTGTCCGTCTGTTGTAATCACGCTACAGTCTAAACGAATTAAGATAGGAAGCTAAAATTTTGCACAGATCTCTCTTTTGCCTGCAGGCAGGTCAAGTTCGAAGATGGGCTATATCGGTCCACAATATCGTATAGCCCCCATATAACGGTACCCCCCGGTATTCGGCATTTTGATGATTTTAGCCACATTTTTCAATGGAATTGTCTGAAATTCCACAAAAGGAGTCCCTTGTGAGCATTTTACCCCCTCAAAAAGAATTGTTTATGTAGGTCCATGATATCGTATATCCCCCATATAACTGTACCCCCCGATATTCGGTATTTTGATGATGTTAGCCACATTTTTCAATGGAATTGTCTTAAAATCCACACAAGAATTGTCTAAAAACGGAATTGTCTAAAAATCCACACAAGGAGTTCCTTGTGGGTACTTTATACCTCGGCAGAGAATTATCTATATAGGTCCACAAAATCGTATAGCCCCCATATAACGGTACCCCCGATATTTGGTATTTTGATGATTTTATCCACATTTTTCAATGGAATGGTCACAAGGGGTTCTTTGTGAGCACTTTACCCCCCGACAGAGAATTCTCTATATAGGTTAACGATAACGTATAGCTCCCATATAACGGCACCCCGCAATATTCGTTATTTTGATGATGTTAGCCACATTTACCAATCGTATTGTCTGAAAATCCACACACGGAGTTCTTTGTGAGCACTTTACCCCTGAAACGGAATTGTCTATATAGGTCCACAATATCGTATATCCCCCATATAACGGTACTCCCCTATATTCGGTATTTTGATGATTTTAGTCACTTTTTCCAATGGAATTATCTGAAAATCCACACAAGGAGTTCCATGTGAGTACTTTACACGCAGAAATAGATTTGCCTTTATAGGTCCACAATATCGTATATCCCCCCATATATCGGTACCTTCCTATATTAGATATTTTAAAGATTTTAAAAGAATTTTTAATGGATTTTATTATTTTTTTTTAAATTTTCTAATTCGTTCCGAATGGTGGAGGGTATTCAAAGTTCGGCCCGACCGAACTTACTGCTTTTTTACTTGTTTAACTTACTAATGTAAATTGTTCTAAATAAAAGAGAAACGTAAATATGTCTAAAGATCAATATCCCAATTTGTTGGTTGAAAAATTACTTTCCTATTTTAGAATTTTTGCCACATTAATATTGAAATGTTTTCTTTTTATTTTTTTTTTCGGAATGTCTATTGAAGTCTAAACCGCTTTGACACAGATAAGCCAATTCTGAATATTCTACTTAATCCCGTCACGGTCACAATATTCAGAGCGTTGTGTGCTAATTCGATATGGTGAATAATGGACTTTAAGAAATTATTCATAGGAATATTTTTTTTAACTTTTTCCACATTTCAATGTTTGTTTTCACATTTATTATTTTTCAAACTAGTTTCAGAGTCCTTCAGTTTGTTTACTTATATATTTGAGTCCTCCATTTTATAAATAAGCCGTCAGACACACCAACTCACCCTTTGTATTGTGCTATTAGCCGAACCCGTATCAATGGGACCGCAATGGCTATCGGCCACGGCAATTTCTGCTGCATCAGCTGTGGTATTATCATAGCTAACCGGCTGATGTTTCACCATACAAAGTATCACAAAATTCAAGGTGTTGCGAAGACACAACTGGATGACCATGGCCAAAAAGGCACAAATGGTATAACAAAGACGTGCCGAACCCCATAATGGGGGTGTGGACGTTTCATTCGCCGATGCCGCCGTATTTTCGGCAATACCATCGAAATTCGTGGTAGCATTAACCTCTGTTTTGGCCATTTAACACTTAACATGGATATCAACAAAATGCATTTACAATCGAATCACAAGAATTAAATTAATCGATTTTTTTGTGTGTAAAAGAAAAACAGAACAGAACATAACCACTAAAACTAAACAACAACAACAAAAATATTTAAAAAAAAAGAGTGTAACCGCGCCAGTATGAACAGCAGCACTACGCGGCTGTTGTTTAATCTCGCAAATGCTCCGCGCGACACTGACAACACAACTGCAACTGCAGTCAATAGGCAAACGAGGTAGGCATTAGAACCGCCAAAACGACGAGACATGGTGGATGGTGTTTGACAGAATTCCGATTTGAGAACGAACAAAAAGTGTGCTTCGCCTCATTACACATATTTCTTTTCAATTAAGAGACGTCAGTTGACCGTTAGAATTTTGAGATAGGGTTATAGAAGTGGTGCAGCATTGGCTCGGAATTGAAAACGTCATGCATATTGTAAACATAGGTTATCTTGTTAATGACCTAAAACCAAACTATCAACAAAATAACAGAGATAATTACAACAGGTCTATAATAAATGCAAAAATCAGATTTCAAAAAATATATGCTGAAGACCTGTTGCTCTTTTATACGAAGAAGGGATTCTTTAGGTCGTGTTTACAAATTATGTAATCTTCTGTAAGAATTTAATAATTATAAATAAATAATAAATAATTATGTATGTGTGATGGAAGCCCTTCTCAAGCTCTGTTTTAAAAAGAGCTCTTTTCTCGGTCTTATATAGTCTCTGTTTATACCCTACACCACAAGGTGGTCAGGGTATTATGTCTTTGTGCATTTGTTTGTAACAGGCAAAAGGAAACGAGATAGACCCATAGTTCCTTTTGACTTTCTGAGTTGATTTATGCATGTCAGTCCGTCTGTCCGTCCGTCCGTCTGTCCATGTATTCTTGTGAACAAAATGCAGGTCGCATTTATTATCCGATTGAGATGAAAGTTTGCAAACAACATTTGTTTGGCCCAAGGACGAACCCTATTGAATAATCGGTAAAAATTTAGATATAGCTCCCATATATATCTTCGTCCGATTTGCCTTTTATTGTGCACCAAACGTGTAATATCAGCCCGAATAGTATGAAATTTTGCACATACAACCAAATTAGGCCTGAAAATAAGTATGCCAAATTTGATCGAAATCGGTTCAGATATAGCTATAGCTCCCATATATATTGTTCATCCGATTTGTTATTTTTGTCCTCCGCAGCCGTAATATGCACTCTGTAACAACAATATTTGGGGAAATATATCAAATGCAGCTCAGAAATACCTTTGCTAAATTTTATCGAGATCGGTTCAGATTTGGATATAGCTCTCATATATAACTTCGTCCGATTTACCTTTTATTGTGCACCAAACGTCTAATATTTGCCCAAATGGGGTGGAATTTAGCACATACGACCGAATTTAGTCTAGAAGGTAGTATGCCAAATTTGGTAAAGATCGGTTCAGATATAGCTATAGCTCCCATATATATTGTTCATCCGATTTGTTGTATTTGTTACCTACAGCCGTAATATGCACTCCGTAACAACGATATTCGGGGAAATATATCAAATACAGCTCAAAAATATCTTTGCCATATTTTATCGAGATCGGTTCAGATTTGGATATAGTTCCCATATATATCTTTATCTGATTTCAAATTAATTTTGCACCAAATGGACAATACAAGTCCAAATTTAAAAGATACAAATGCTTTGGCATATTTAGTCCTTTGAATTTTTAATTATAATTATAATTATAGCGTGTATGATTGAAATCTTCCATAAAAACTTAATTGTTATGTGGAGGTCAACTAAATTAGAAAAATGGTGTAGGGTATCATAAAATCGGCCCCGCCCGACTTTAGGACTTTCTTTACTGGTTTATATCAAAGCCATAGAAGTATAAAGATGGGACAAGACAGAGTCAAAATATTGTCACCAGGTGTAAATACCTCTGTTGTTACGATATCATAACAACATAATCACCAATGTTAAGTTGTTTTAACGGCAAATGCAATATTCAAACGTCAGTGAAATGCAATTTTTAGTTCAAATTTTTGGTTTACAGAAAATTTTATTCTTAAAATTGCTCTGTAAATATAATTTTTATGCTAACATGTCACTGTTGTGAGCAGCGCCTCTATATATTTTTCACATTAACTATTTTTCCATTATGCATTTTGTCCAGTCTTTACCATTTTAGGTCTTTGTTTATATATCAGTTATACATAAAAAAGTAGTGAAATAACTGGCTGACAGGCCCTGACGAAGCGGCTGGAGCTGGGATCTTGAAATTTTGCACGAGGCACAGTCTTGGTGCGCGGGCGAGTGATAAGGCTGGGTGTTTGTAAATTCCTACTAAAAGGGTACGAAAAGTACAACAAATTCAATATTTTGTATTGGACAAAGGGAATGTGCTTAAATTTGGAGTAGGATAGACGTACCAAATATTTTTTGGAAAATCAAACTTTAAGTTTACGTTTAAAATGGTACTAATCTTTTAAAATGGCACCATTTGTTATTATAAGAACAAATGGAGCTAAAGAAAATATAAGTGAACGAAAAGTACTAAATAGTACTATATTTGCAACAATTTGATAGTGGGTGAACACATAGTGCTTGAAATCTGAAATTTGGTAGGTGGTTTCGGAAATGTATACTATTGAACGAAAAGTACAGAATGATACTACGGGTGAGATAAAAAAAGTCTGCAACAAAGTCAAACGCCATAATTTTTACATTTTTATACCCTATACCACAAGGTGGTCAGGGTATTATGTCTTTGTGCATTTGTTTGTAACAGGTAGAAGGAAACGAGATAGACCCATAGTTCCTTTTGATGATCTGCATAGAATCACATTCTGAGTCGATTTATGCATGTCCGTCCGTCCGTCTGTCCATGTATTTTTGTAAACAAAGTACAGTTCGCATTTATTGCCCTATCCAGATGAAATTTTGCACAGATCATTTGTTTGGCCCAAGGACGAACCTTATTGAAATTGGAAATAATCGGTCACAATTTAGATATAGCTTCCATATATATCTTCGTCCGATTTGCCTTTTATTGTGCACCAAACGTGTGATATCAGTTCGAATAGTATAGAATTTTGCACGTACGATCAGATTGGACCTGAAAATAAGTATGCCAATTTCGAAATCGGTTAAGATATAGCCATAGCTCCCATATATATTGTTCATCCGATTTGTTATGTTTGTCCACCGCAGCCGTAATATGCACTCTGCAAGAACAACATTTGGGGAAATATATCAAATACAGTTCAGAAATACATTTGCTAAATTTTATCGAGATCGGTTCAGATTTGGATATAGCTCCCATATATAACTTCGTCCGATTTACATTTGATTGAGCACCAAACGTCTAATATTTGCCAAAATGGGATGAAATTTGGCACATGCAACCGTATTAAGTCTAGAAGCTAGTATGTCAAATTTGGTGAAGATCGGTTCAGATATAGCTATAGCTCCCATATATACTGTTCATCCGATTTGTTATATTTGTTACCCACAGCCGTAATATGCACTCCGTAACAACGATATTCAGGGAAATATATCTAATACAGCTCAGAAATATCTTTGCCAAATTTTATCGAGATCGGTTCAGATTTGGATATAGCTCCCATATATATCTTTATCCGATTTCAAATTAATTTTGTACCAAATGGACAATACAAGTCCGAATTTAAAAGATACAAATGCTTCGGCATATTTAGTCCTTTGAACTTTAAATTATAATTATAATCATAGCGTGTATGATTGAAATCTTCCATAAAAACTTTTAATTGTTATGTGGAGGTCAACTAAATTAGCAAAGTGGTGTAGGGTATCATAAAATCGGCCCCGCCCGAATTTAGGACTTTCTTTACTGGTTTATATATCTGTTATACATAAAAAGAGTAGTGAAATAACTGGCTGACAGGCCCTGACGAAGCGGCTGGAGCTATGGACCTTGAAATTTTGCACGAGGGACAGTCTTGGTGCGCGGGCAAGTGATAAGACTGGGTTTTTGGAAATTTGTACTTAAAGGGTACGAAAAGTACTACAAACTCAATACTTTGTATTGGAAAAACGGAATGTGCTTAAATTTGGAGTAGGATAGACGTACCAAATATTTTTTGGAAAATCAAACTTTAAGTTTACGAAACGTTTAAAATGGTACTAATCTTTTAAAATGGTACCATTTGCTATTATAGGAACAAATGGAGCTAAAAAATACTATAAGTGAACAAAATGTACTAAATAGTACTATATTTGGAGCAATTTGACAATGGGTGAACACAAAGTGCTTGAAATCTGAAATTTGGTAGATGGTTTTGGAAATGTATACTATTGAACGAAAAGTACTGATACTACGGGTGAGATAAAAAAACCTGCAACAAAGTCAAACGCCATAATTTTTACATTGTTTTTTTTTTTAATTTTTATTGAATGGAAGCAAAAAATGTCGGAAATAGCATCAAATTTTAGAATAAGTTTAAATTTGTTTGAATTGGTCAGCTTTGGCACGAATTATGGCCTTCACCAACCGACCAACCGTTACACGCTGACCGAATGTTGCTCTGAGTTATTTTAGCCCATTCCCGGCGAAGCGCTTGCTTGAGGTGATCGGCACTTTAGTATTTTTTAGTGCCAACGGATTGGTATCCGGAGATTCGGGTGGCCATTGTGCGCTGGAAATGAAGCGAGGAACCTCATTTTGTAACCATTCTTGGGAGGCGCGTGCTGAGTGCGATGGTGCTGAGTCCTGTTGGAATGCCCAAGGTCTGCGGCCAAAATGTTTGCCCAAGGCTTTAATACACCCTCCAGAATAATTTCGCGATAATATTTGGCGTTTATTCTGATGCCACGGTCGATTAATACGAGCGGAGAGCGACCATCCGCTGTTATGGCGGCCCACACAATCACCATGGTCGGCGCTTGAGTTCTGGTTGCCAACCGAGGGTGCACCTATTCAGCTGACCTATTTGGCAAGTAAACACGATCATTTCCAAGTCTGTTTTCTTTTTGTTGCGGTGTAAGTTCTTGAACTTTTTGAAATTTTAATGGCTTTACCCCAAGCTCATTTTTGAATATTTGCGAATGGAATATTGCGATATGTTCAGCTCACGAGCCATTTTTCGGCCATTGCGACGCGGGTTTCGATGAAGTCGCTTCTTTACTTTTCGAACCATTTCTGTTGATGTTGCTGTTTTCATCCGTCCCCTTCCTTGACGTCGAGCTACG